AATTGGAACTGTCGCTTTTTATTTCGTGATGTCACTCGTGGTTATTTTCCGTATCTTAACATTATACCAACGTTATCGTTCCACCCACAGTAACAAACCTGACCTTAAACCTTGTATGTTTGTGTGTGTGTGTTTCCTTTTTTTTATTTGTGTGAAGCATTCGGGTTTGTGAGAACACAAAGTAGTTAAGTCAGTAGTCTTAGATGAATCTGCTAGGGAGAGAAAAGAATGGAAAGGTCTCAAAATGTGAACAAATTATGGCTTAGAGATTTATGTTTTGGGTTTAAACGTTATCATATGAAGCACATGCGTATTATTGATGCTTGTAGGACATACTGTATAGTGAACACTTAGTCATGGGTGCTCCAGTATTTGATGTTTTTTTTTTTCCAGTGCTGTGAAACACCACTGATGCTCTTATTCAGACATGAGTGTGAATGATCCCTTTATAATCTTGGTGTGTTTTTTTTTTTTTTTGTTCGCACTGAAAAGAGTGTTTTAATGCAGTCTCTCTGCCTTTCCATGAAGGTCCAGACTGCTTTCTTTCTCTCCCTTATTATATCATCTGATAATGCAAAATAAAGACATGTTAGAGAATGATGTGTGTTCAAATTAATTATCCAGTGTAATTGTTTCTGATGGTGTTTGCTTTGTAAATTAATTACTTAATTTTATTTTGTGCAACAACAAAACAACTTATTTCACTTATTGTGACATGTTTAATTCTAGTTCTAATAAAGCAGAGGAATAAGAAAATAATAATTACGGTAGTGCAAAAAAAAAAAAACTTAAGGTAAGGAGTATGCCACTAGAGGAAGTACATTTATGGCAAGCTGTTTTGACATCTTTTCCATAACCCATACTAGTATCTGTTTTTATGTTACTAGTGCTTATTTTTAGATACTATGATTTTTTCTATTAAGTTCTAGCGCTTATTCATTACATACTATTGCTTGATTATTAGATACTAGTGCCTTTCCTTTAGATACTAGTGCTTTTATATATATATATATATATATATATATATATATATATATATATATATATATATATATATATATATATATATACTAGTGCTGACTCATTACACATTAGTTCTTTTTATTAGATACTAGTACTCATTCATTAGATCCTAATACATATTATATAGATACTAGTGCTGATTTTAATAGTCACTAGTAACTATTCTGTTGTTACTAGTAACAAATTAAAAAAATTTCCATTGATTTCTATTTGATTTGTCATTGAGATATCAACTTTTCAGTTTTGACTAATATGTATTCCAGCTGGACTAGTGCATATATTTGTAATAATATGTACTAGTAGTTTTTACTTGGATACTAGTTTCTATTTAACTAGTAATTATGTATTAGATACTAGTACTTATTCATTAGGCACTACTTATTAGATACTAATAGTTTTTCATTAGTACTAATATTATTGATTAGACACTAGTATCTTTTATAACTACTACTAGTAACAATTCTTATTTTACTAGTCAGTTCTGCTTTTTTTACTTGTCTTATGTTATGACTAGTCCAAATGTAAGAGTAGAGTTCAATTAAACATTCTACTAAAATAAAGATTTTCACTATTAACATTTCAAACATGCACTATTATTATATAAATGTGAATTAATATATTTTAAATAAGTTGTGGTATCTATTTAATAAGTACTAGTATCTATTTAATAAACACTATACTTAATAAATAGATAATAGTATGAATAAGTATTATTACCTAATGAATAAGTACTATTATCTTAAACATAAGTACTGTTATTTATTAATTCGGTACTAGTATCTAATGAATGAGTACTAGTACCTAATGATTAACTACTAATACATGAAAACATGTACTAGTCCCTGCTGGAATACATAGTGAAAACTGAATTGATATCTCAATGACAGGTCCCATAGAAATTTAAAGAAAAAAAATAATTTGTTATTAGTAACAACCAAATAGACGCTAGCCAGTATTAAATTAAAAGTACTAGCATCTAATAAATACAAACTAGTATCTACTGTATTTAATAAGTACTAGTACCTAATGAATAGATAATGAATAAGTAATAGTATCTAAAACATAAGTACTAGTATCTATTTAATATTTATTGGTATCTAATGATAAAAAAACAAGTAACCACTCGTGTAATGAATAAGCGATAGTGCCTAATAAAAAAGATGCTATTATCTAAAAAATAAGCACTAGTAACATGAAAATACATACTAGTACGGGTTTTGGATTAAATGTCAAAACGGCTTGCCATAGTATGTTCGTCTTTTCACATGACTTGAGTTGAAACGAAAGTAAAACAAATAAGCAGAGACGTCCTTTCGATGTTAACTCCTTGAAAGATACGCATTTCGTGGTAAGAATTCTTCACTCTGGCATGTAGTCATATATAAGTGAGCTGCTATAATGTAACATTCACTCGAGAAACAGAGAAGCAGCCAAGTGTTTAGACATAGGTAGTTATTACGTTTATTATGTTTTAATTCATTCTGTTGTAAGGGTTTGGGGAGTTCCAGCCGACATTTAAATGCTTTAATTTTGTGGTCAAAGCTCTGTTTTTTTCCGTGTTGAACCAATGTTGCAATGCAATCGAGTGATGGCTGAGAGATAATTAAACATTCCTCAGAAACCTGTTGTAAAATAATGTATTGTTGTTGATTTTGAATAGAACGTAGAGTTACTTCGGTTATTACTGTATTAGTTACGGGATTTGACGAATTCACAAAATAAGCAATATATAACCTCCGTGGTAATACAACATTATAGTAATATAAACAAAATACAGTTAAAATGTATACTACACCACAGCTCTTTAATTTAGTAAAGAGTGAATCGGTTCACAATATGAGTACTACAGCATTAGTACAGTATTACTACAGTATGCTGTGGCATTCATTAAAAATTGTTGTTAAAACTGAACTGTAAAACACAATTTACTTTACGGTTCAAAAGCACTAGTATTTATGAATTTAGAGGGCTTATAAAATTCCCACGAGCAGCAGGTGGGGCAAAACCTAATGGCAATGCAACAAATGAAACAATGACTCGCCACAGGTCAAAGTAGTCACTCAATATTTCAAAATGTTTTTGCTTACAGTGTGTATATAACATGCATCGTGTTGTAGGGTCCAGCCAGTTGGTCCAATGACGGTATCCAATGGTGGATGAAGATTTACTGCATGTTTCGGTCTTTCCAGTGCACAATGTTGATTTATATTAAACTTAACTCATATCTGACTCCAATTTTAGTATGAGAAGGTTTAGAATATTAATATATTTATCCTCGTTTTATCTGACTCCAATTATAAAACACTGAGAAGGTTATTTTGTTTCCGTTCACATTAATTTAGATTATGATTGAATATTCTTTTGATTTGTTATTATACCTTATTCTCATTTACTCAGATTCCTATAGCATCTCGAGTCTTGCACCGGCCGGGTATACAATCTCTTATAACAAGCTTGTCAGTCTTCATTAAACAGAGGCGATTAACCACTCTCCTAAAAAGGCAGAACCCTACTTATTCAATTTAGGAGATTTTTATGTGGTCCCCATAGATCTGTTATCTACTTAATCAAGACAAAGTGTTTTAATAATAATCGCACAGGATTATAAGTTTGTAGATGAAGGCCTAAATACCCACATTTAAATTAGTTTCAACAATATTTTGTTATTCTAAATAGAAAACCCATAGTTGGCCTTTTGCAGTCTACGTATACATGAAATAATGCCAATTTGCTAGTCGGATGTCTACCAACATTGTATAGCATGCCACGCTGCTCCGTCTAACATGTTTTAGTCCGTTACTAACCTGTACAGTGGCTTGTAGTGCTATGGACAACAACATTTATCAGTGATAATAACACAAGGTTTGATTCAAAACATAATTTATTAGTCAGGTAAATGTATTATGCCAATTCAATCAGTCGATTCATAAACGATCAATACAAAACATCAAATTATCAAAGATAAATCCAAGATTAAAAGATGCATACCTGACTTTTTACATAATGTGTAATTTTTACATAACGTGGAGCCTAGGGCTGATCTGGGTAGGCAGAATCGCGCCGGGTCTTTCTCAGACCTTACCTTAAATAATCCAAGAATTCCCTCAAGGAAGGGGGTGTGAATAACAAAAGGCATTCACACTTAGGGAAAAGTCACACCCTTCACAGTGGTTCAAAAGATGCCTGAAGTTATATATTTATTGTTTTGATTATGTCTATTTCTGAGAGAATGAGACCATTGTACCAATCGCACTGAGACATTTCAAATGATATCAAACATGATAGATAAAGTCAGTTTGGTTAATCTAGAACATTCAAACATTGAAATGACCATATGCGTGAGATGGGGGGATGAAGCTGAGTTTCAGCATACTCAGACGCAAATGCAGCAGGAACTGGTTTTTCCCGCATTCCCCCTTGCTGGGTTGTGAAGTCACCAGTCTCTGTTTTCAGCTCATGTTTTAAATTTTCAAAGATATCAGAATGTTTGCAATATTTCAACTCTTACAGTGTTGAATTAATAGAAAATATTGTGGTCTTAACATGAGCCGTGAACTAAATATTTAATGGACTAGAGTAAATTATTCTTCATATACTGCTGTTACCTCACCTACAGTAATGACATGTTGTATTACAAAACATTTGCCTGGTGTTTGTCCTCAAAACACTCCTATGTGTAGAAATATTTTGTTATGCATCTCAAAGCCTTTATCTGGGTTTGATTTGATTTTTGACTGTTGTTGGCTGGCTAATTGGAAATAACTGAAATCATTTAGCATAGTGATATGGAATTGGAATGCAGTCCAAAACTTCCTGAGGTATTTCTGTGTGGAGTTAGCTTGTTCTCCTTGTGTTGGCATGGGTTTCCTCTGGGTGCTCTGGTATCCCCCACAGTCTAAACACATGAGCTATAGGTGAATTGGGTTAACAAAATTGGACGTAGTGTACAAGTGTGAATGTGAGAGTGGTGAATCCTGAATAAATAAGGGACTAAGCTGAAGGTAAATTAATGAATGAATGTAACATATTCATGAGTATGCAGCTGTCATTTTTGCTGTTCTTTTTATTTTTTAAACAGAAGGAAAAGACAAACCAGTCAGATATGTGTTGTTCTCTGTTTGCCACTTTCACACATCAAACAGGAAAGAATGGATACTGTCTTGGAGACACACACCCTGGAGAATGGAAACCTGCCGAGAATCAAAGGCCAGCTCAGAACCAGCATGAAGACCAAGTATGTAAGCTTATATGATGGAAACAAACAACAAATTTGCACACAGCTGTACGTTATAGAGGGAGCAAATGAGGGGGAGAATGAAGGTCATGAGGTTTTACAGATGGAAAAATCAGCCAAAATGAAACACTCACAAGACACTCCAATCTTCTGCAATGATATTTTTACAGCATTAGCTGAAGCTGGATGTGAGGAGAAAGACAATATCAAGGTTGTTCTTACTAAAGGCATTGCTGGTATCGGTAAAACCATATCTGTACAGAAGTTCATTTTGGACTGGGCTGAGGGAAACTCCAATCAGCAAGTAGATTTCATGTTTGTGTTTCCATTTCGAGAGCTGAACTTGATTCAAGATCAACAATACAGTCTTCACAGACTTCTGCTGGACTTTTATCCTGAGATCCAAGATCTGAACACAAAGATTTTTAAGGAATGTACGGTTATGTTCATTTTTGATGGTTTAGATGAAAGCAGAATACCACTGATGTTTTCAGATGGTCAGAAAGTTTGTGATGTGGCTGAAAAATCTTCTGTCGGTGCGTTGATGTCAAACCTGATGAAAGGAGAGCTGCTTCCTTCTGCTCTCATCTGGATCACCACTAGACCAGCAGCAGCCAATCAGATCCCCTCAAAATACATCAACCGACTAACAGAAATTCAGGGATTCGATGAGCCTCAGAAGGAGGAATATTTCAGGAAGAGAGTTAGTGATGAGCATCAAGCCAACAGAATCATCTCCCACATCAGAAGAGCAAGAAGCCTCAACATCATGTGCCACATACCCGTCTTCTGCTGGATCTCAGCCACTGTGCTTCAAAACCTCCTGAAACAAGATGACAATGCAGAAATCCCTCAAACTCTGACTGAGATGTACATTCACTTCCTGCTGATTCAGATAAACACGAGGAATCAGAAATATGAGGAACGAGATCCAGAGAAACTCCTGCAGTCCGGCAGAGAAGTGATTGTGAAACTTGCTGAAGTGGCTTTCAAACAGCTTATGAAGGGAAACGTGATGTTCTACGAAGAGGACCTGAGAGAGAGCAGCATAGATATCACTGACGCCTCAGTATACTCTGGGATCTGCACTGAGATCTTTAAGGAGGAATCTGTAATTCATCAGAGGAAGATCTATAGCTTCATTCATCTGAGCACTCAGGAGTTTCTTGCTGCTTTCTATTGGTTTCATTGCTACATAAACAGACTCATGGAACCACTTAAGTTCTTTGATTCTCTATACTACTTGCTCAGAGGGATAGTAGACAAAGCGATAGAGAGTAAAAATGGACACCTTGATCTGTTCCTGCGGTTCCTGCTAGGTGTCTCAATGGAGACCAATCAGAGACTCTTGCAGGGTCTATTGACACACAATGAGAACAGCTCAGAGAGCATCGAGAGAACCACACAGTACATTAAAGAGAAGATCAAAGGTGGAGGTGGACTCTCCACTGAAAGATCCATCAATCTGTTCCTCTGTCTGCTGGAAGTGAAGGATCAGACGTTGTCCAGAGAGATTCAGGATTTTGTCAAATCAGAGAAGCATTCAGAGAAGAAACTCTCTCCTGCTCACTGCTCAGCGGTTGCCTACATGCTTCAGATGTCACTGGAGGTGCTGGATGAGCTGAACTTTAAGAAATATCACACATCAGATGAGGGTAGAGAAAGACTTATACCTGCTGTGATCAACTGCAGAAAAGCTATGTGAGTTAATTCTAGCATATTGCATAATGGACTAAATTTATCTGTGGACAGAAATGTTTCTTCAGGAAATATTGAAAAAAAAATTAATAATAGAAAAAATAATAAAAGAAATCCATTTGCATTAAAAACAGAAGACAGAACAATTGGTCATTAAAAATTAATTCTTACTCTTTTCTAGCCTCACAGGGTGCAATCTAACTCCTCAGTCCTGTAAAAATCTGGCAACGGTTCTACAATCCTCAAACTGTGTCCTGAGAGAGCTGGACCTCAGTAACAATGACCTGCAGGACTTTGGTGTGAAGCTTCTTTCCGATGGACTGAAGAGTCTAAACTGTCAGCTGGAGATACTGTGGTTTGGCTTTTAAATTATTTACTATTGATTTGCATTTACTTATATTTTTAAAAGCAAACAAATAAAAATATGTGGATTGGGTCTGATACAATAGACTTCACAGCATCTCTTCAAATTTAATTAGTGTCCTAACTAGCTATTAAATTGATATGAGATGAGTGTTAGGGGATCCTAGTTTAGAATGGTTTCTATATATAAAGTGCCAATTCTACCCCTTAGCCCTTCCCCTTACCCAATTCTCTTTAGCTTGAAGGCGTAGGGCTAAGTGGAAGAGCTAGATAGCCCTTGGAACATAAATTTTCCAGAACTGAACTAGAAACCAAATCGGGACGCTCATATTGATTAATTAACCGTTAAACGAAAGGGTGTGTTTTTAACCGATAATTGATAAACAACAAAAAGAAATATATGTATGTGTGTGTGTGTGTGTGTGTGTGTGTATATAATTTTATTTATTTATTTTATTTATTTATTTATTTTTTAAGTTTGGCAGTATGAATGTGCAACACATATTTGTTAACTCGCTGGACAACACCTGCAACCACACGTGCCTACAGACGTATTTTGCCTAAGAAACTAAATGAAAGAAGGATTTTGCCGGTCACAGTTTGACATAGATGAGTTGATGTCAAACGAGCGCTTAAACACCTCAGAAAAAAAGGTGCAAAACCAAACTTTCTGAAATGTGCTGTGCTCTGAATTTTCTCTCCATCAGAGCGAGCTCAGGCACCGCTCATAAACACAATAAATAGGCTATAGTTGGGATGTATTCCAACAAACCAACCCTTTTTTCATTTGGAAAATTACAGTTATTAAAAGTTCTTATTAAATATCCATGTTTAAAATTGCATACATAGCCTAATCTACGAATCTAACAAATTCAATCATTTAGCCTGCTTGATTTTTGCACAGTGATAATATCATAGCATGCACAAACATTTGCGCTGCTTTAAGAGATATATATATAGTCTTATCATACGAAAGCAGTTTAAATTTGTCTTAATAGTTTTAGATATTTTCTTAATATGGGTATCAAACTTAAGCTTAGAGTCTACAGTGACATTTAGATATTTAAATTCACTCACTTCCTTGATTTCCTTTTGGTCAATTTGGATTTTAAAACACATCCAGTTCTCTGTTGTTGTTTTTTTTTATAAAGGGGTGGTCCACTAGGGTATCATATTTTAAACTTTAGTTGATGTGTAATGTAGCTGTGGAAAAATAAACAACATCTCTGAATGTAAAATGCTCAAAGTTCAGTGCAAACGGAGACCTTGGTTTTTACAGAGTTAGCTTAGCAAAGCCTACAATGAACGAATTTTGGGGACTACAAAATACTTTCGGGCCTTATGAGATCTCCAACGTACTTTTATCGCGCATACACACATCGCAGCTAAGGGCCGTGGCCCGAGGCGCTGTTACGTTATAGCAGAGAGAGAAAATGCCATCCTGCTGTTTCCACAGAGCTTCTTCTGTTTTTGTATTTGGGCTTCCAAATGACACGACACAAAGACAGAAGTGCTTACAGTTCAATATTAATTATGTTCCAGAGAATTATAAAATACATAGCAAGCATGATTTGACAAAACAGCTTCCAGAATCTTGCCCGGTTCAGTGCTGGAATCGGTTAAAATCTCCTCAAAGATGGAGCAGCTACAAGCAGACGCTGTGAACTCTGAGCTACGACCTGTAAGTGTTTTTAATTGGTAAAATTGATCATGACATGTACAGTGTCTAGCCTTAACGGTTTGTTATAGCAAAGATGTAAACAATGGGAAATGATGTTCACCACCGCTAACGATTTAGCTACAAATTCATATTTATCAGTCAAACTGCTATAAACACACACACACTTCACCGGCGCGTGCAGCTTCTCTCTCAATGTGTGTGCGCAACTTTGCATTGTTTCTCTATAGGCAGCTTTTCCATGCGTTTGTCATCTCAGATAATGAAGTTGCAAAAGAAATGTGAACGATTCATGTTACTTACACAGGCATATTCTGGATATATGTAAAAGGCGTTGTGTAACACGTTGAGTTAAAAAAATACAGGAGAGCTCACCTAATTCATGTAGCAGCAGAAAAATAAATCAAGGCTCACACAGGTCGCATCCCACATCTTGTGCTTTATTCTTCTGTCAGCAGCGTCACCTCAGAAAATAACTTAATCCGAGCATCAGAGAAAACAATAAAATAAGCATCGCTTATCGCACATGCGCTTCTTGTGTTACTGATAGTTTATAATATACACACGCACACACATAAACACACACACAATGGCACACACTCTCTTAAAGGATCACGAAACACCAAAACTCATTTTTTGAGCTGTTGACAGTTGTATATGTGTCCCACACTGCTAAAAACACTATTAGGACACATATATTTCACTGAAAGGTGAAAATTGGTTGTTTTTGCGTTATTTCGAGCAAATTCGTACTTCTGGTTTTAAACGAATTTTTGAAAATGCATCACGGCCATGAAATCTTAGCGCATATTCCATCGTGTAGAGTGAACGTCTGTAACTTTGAGTGCCTTATTACAACTCTAAGTGTGCTGCATTTATTCGTGAGTAAGACTTGGTTCAAACGTGTGCAACTTCATTAATATACATGATAGCTTCAAAGACTGTTTTTACCTGTTAAAGTGTTCAGACGGCAGAGAGACGCAACATTGTGTTGCCAAAACAAGCGTGCAGTGTTGCTTTTATAATTTGCAGCGGTGAAGGTTTTGTTTTCATTTTCTCTCTGTGAGAGCTCAGCTGGACTCACGTGTGGATTACAGTGCACACGATGCTCGACAACAAAACGTGTCTAGGGAACACAGTTTACCCGAGAGCTTTTCTCATCTGGAAATAGTGAGATCTGGATTTGCTGCTCGTCTCCTTTTCATAAAGACGTGGCACCAGTTGGTGTTGATTGTCCTGTCTCTACAGATTTGGTAAGTAAGCGACCAGTGCTCTTTGTTTATTCAGATGGCAAAGTTAGTTAGAAATGAACTAACTATTACATCGAGTCTAAACATGTTAGCACCTCAATCAAACTTACCATCGTGTAGGATTTTCACCGCACTTTGTGACAGGAATAACACACACGGCTTTCGGACGCTACCTTCCGAGTGCATCTAAGTTTCCGGGAAATACGGAGGTTTTTTTTTTTGTCATTCGCCATGCGGTAACAAACATTGCATGAAAATACACGCTTAGAGCAATTCTTCAAATCAAATATCTAGTTTGTCATCAGGGGCATGAATGAAATTCCTGAATGAAAGTGCCAAACTGCAGTTAAAATCCACCATTTAATAGTTTGTCAAATAATTCGACTACTGATGTCCATTTAAACACCGTCACTGTCTTTCTACCCTGTGTGTGTGTGTTTTCTCTCTGTGAAAATCGGTGTGTGTACAAACCGACACTCCCATTTTAATGCAAATTTATACAGACCTTCCCTCTTTTGCTCCTCCGACACTTACCCCTAAACAGAGCTGGACACGCCCACTTTCGTGGGGGTTTCATGGCCCTTTAAAGGAGTAGCACCCTATTTTCACAGACACTTGTCAGATGTTATTTTAGAGAGGGAGCATGAGGTTTACTGACTGTTTACACAAAAGGTGCGTGCTTGGACGGGCGTGACATGGAGCCAATCCGCGAATCACTGCACATTATTACACAAGACCAATCAGAGTCACTTGAGGGCGGGCCTTTCAGAGGAACTAGAAAATATAACGTTTTCATGTTAGCTGAGTAGCTGTATATAATCAAAGTGACCTTTATGAAAAAATAACGTAATTTCCTTTAAGTGAAACATGAGCACACATTGCTTCTGCATCTTATAAACACAACCAAGCCTCAAAATTACATTCTGGACCACCCCTTTAACGTAAAAACCATTGAAACTGTTTTGTTGTAATTTAAAGTTAAAAAGTTGTCCTGCAGCCACTGGGAAATACAGACCAGTTGCTTGGTTAACATTTCTGCAGCCTTCCTGCTGTTACATAAATAATTAAATCATCTGCATACATTTGACAACCAACCTCATTACAACTTTCAGGTAAATCATTTATAAACAAACAGAAAAGCAATGGTCCCAGTTTTGAGCCTTGTGGTACACCTAGTTTGCATTTTGACTTTACACTGTTAATTTTAACACATTGCCAGATATGATTCAAACTAGTTTAAAGCTTGTTGGGTTTAATTTATTTATGAGAACTTCATGATTCACAATATTAAAAGCTTTTTAAAAAGTCTAAAAATACTGCTCCCACAAACTTTACTTAATCCAAACTGCTTTTTATCATATATTACAAGTTGCCATTTCTGTTGAATATTTCTGATGAAATCCAAATTGTTTATGGTTCAGCATGTAGCACATAGTGCTTTATGGCCAGCAACTGGTTGGATCAAGAGTGTAGATTTGCTCTTGACATCAGTGGGGACATACATCCAAGCATATGCATTGCACTAATTCTTTTTGTGCTTTTAAAAACATGAGAAAAGTACTTAATTATATAAAATAAACACTTAATAGTACAAAAAACAGTCCCATTCCATATGCTGCAAAAGTCAATTTACATGATTTTACTGCAATTGGGCTTTGAGGAGGTATGAATGTAGAGAAATTTAGAGAGGTCTGTGACACGATTTAACTGTTTTATCCTGATAATTGTTTTTTATAATCATGGAGGCCAAAATCGAAACTGACTAAATTAATTGCACTGCCTTGGTTAATAGTATTAGAGTGAACTCATAGCGAACTTGACTTTGTGCACGTGTAGGTTACTAAGGGGCCCTATCATACACCTGGTGCAATGTGGCGCAAGGCGAGATGCAATTGTTGTTTGCTAGTTTCAGCTTGCCGCAAGAGTCGTTTAGACGTTTTGCGCTACGCTGTTTAAATAACAAATGCATTTGCGCTCATATGTGCGCCCCTAGGCCTTCTGGTCGATAAAGGAAGGTGTGTTGAGGTGTATTGTTGGCGCGTTGCTATTTTGAGAAACTATAATAGATTTTTTCAATAGACCAGAACAAAGCCGGTCTATTGTCCAGCGCAGAGCGCGTTAGTTGAGCACCTCCCTTACACACTGCTTAATACACACAAGATGTAGAGCAATACGCAAATATCTTTACATATAAAAAAGAATTAAAATATTAAGGATATGTAGGATATAAGTTTAAAGGATTAAAATATTACAAAACATATTATTTTCTAGCCTACATAAATATAAAAACCATACTTTCATGCCTTCTTCATCTCGGAGGCTTTTTCAGATAATTCATAACAATTTGCTTTTGTATAATGTTATTATTATTAGCAGTATTATTTATTATATCCATATTTATATTTGTTTTATTAAAAACAAGCTTAGATTTGCCCACCTGTCAGGTTTTAGACCATATGGGGCACAGCATGTATATTTAGATGTAACTTTTTTTGAGCACACTTCGTTATTATTGTTCATTTATTTGTTTGCTGGAAATTAGAACTAAAATTTGAAATAGTTTTGAAACAAATCTTTACGCTTAACAAACAAAAATAATTATGTAGGCTAATGGATGTCTGCACGTAAAAGGTTTCCCTATCCATGAGAGCGAAAGTGAAAGTAGATAATGAGAGGCCTCATCTCTCATTTTCGTGATGCTGATGCTCTGTTTAACTGTTTTCTTGCTTGTGAAATGCTCAGTTTTTCCACTTGCAAAGTCGTCCTGTAAATAGCGAATGCGCTCTTGGCGCGACACAACTGGCTCTTAAAGGGAATGGGAGATGACACTCTGATTGGTTTATTCTCAAAACACACCTATAACTTATTTAGAAAATAAGCTCAACCCTTTTAGACCATGCGCCGCGGTGCAAAGCGGATTTTTCCATCCTTATTTTAGCAAAAGTGGATTCTGACACGCCCTGAATGCGTTTGCGCCCTACTCTTTGCACTTTGCGCATGGACTGTCAAAATAGAGGCATAAGGCTTGACAGAGCATTATGTTATTTTGAATTCGATTAAATTATTGGAAGGGTCATTTCAGTAATTGGTGGATATTGGTGAGGACACGCCCCCTCCATCCATGCTAATTCTACGCCCTTGGGTTGGATTTATTTTGAAACTTGAGACAAGATTGTGTCTTGCTCAAGACACATGTGGCAATAGTACAAGAATTGTCAACATCAATTTATCACAGTGCTAACAGCATGACATCGCTTCCACTTCAATCAGAGGTGTGTTAAGAAAATCGATAAAAACACTTGCGATAAGAAAATCAGCAGCTGTCACGAACCCCATCCTGGTATGTTGTGCTTATTGTCTCATGTGTTTTTATTGTTCTCTGCTCAATTTCTATGCTTTGTTCTCTTTAGCTGTTTCCAAAATCGCCCCCTATACCCTTATTCATTATTCCCTACATTAGTCCACTAATATTTAAGGAGTGAATGAAAACAAGTGATTGATTTGAATGCCCGGGAAATTCTTAGTCAGACCCTGTTATAGTTATTTAAGACTTAGCGAGCTGTTTGTTAAAAATAAAACAACATATTTAGATTTCTGTCATGTATACAAATGTTAATTTAACAATTTAAAAAAAATGAATGAATTAGAAATTTGCACAGATAGGATTTCACTGTAGATGCCATCCTGTGGTCAGACACTGGAATTCATTTAGTATGCATACTCTCACAATGCATTATGGGTATCATCAGCTGTACACTCGTTATTAGGGTGCATTGTGGGACTGATTGAGTGCACTTCAGAAATATCGCACTATATATTGGTATAGGGGGTGATTTTGGATAAAACCCTTGTGTTCTGTCACTCCTATTAGTTGCCACACTGTCTCCTCCCACTTGTTACTCTATATTAACATGTTATCTCTTGTTTATTTAAACCCACCGTTTTAGTCTTTGTTTGTCATTCAGCCAATGTGTATGTGTATAAAAGTGTTGCTGCATGTTTCATAAGCATCTGCTGCCTAACAAGCGACACATAACATCATAACATTTTCATATAGTAGGTTCACTATATGAAAATGTTATAATGTTATGTGTTGCTTGTTACTAATTTGAATAATTCATTTAAATAGCATAATTGCTTAAATATGATGTCTTATATAAATAATTTTCTCATGGAAATAACTATGGAGTATTAAAAAACAATCTAACCTCATCTTTATATTTCCTCGGTAGGTTGTCTGGCTGTATGGTGACAGAGAAAGGCTGTGGTTTTGTTTCTTCAGCTCTGAGTTCAAACCCTTCACACTTGAGAGAGCTGGATTTGAGCTACAATCACCCAGGACCATCAGGAGTTCGGCTGCTCACAGACAAACTGCATGATCCAAAATGCTCACTCAAGATACTCAAGTAAGACATATTAGGTAGTGAGTAAAAAAAACTGGCGGTATGGTTTTCACTAAGTACATTTACTTAGGCACCAATAATCTGATTTTAATATGATTAAAACGACACTCTGATTAATAGTCTACCATATAAACAGCAATTTTTGATTACCTTAATCCTACTAAAGTCATAATCGAACTAAACAGAAATGGAATTAAAACATGTGGCGAATGCCAATTTTAGTAGCAATATTAAAGTGCAGCACAGACATGTAAACAACTTCTAAACAAAGTAAACAAAGTCTATACACACATGGCTTTTTGACACTTCTCTGCACGGACCACAGACACCTGCATCACGAAATGCGGAGAGTTTTTTTCTCACACGCAGCAAATTCCATTAAAACAACACTCTTTCTACAGTTCATACTCACATCCCATATCTTGTTTGTCACAGGGGCATGCAGGAAATGTTCTGAATGAAAGTGAAAGTGCCAAACTGCAGTTGACAAATTAAAAATGAAACATTCAAAATTACATGAAACTGCAGAGGAAATGTGGATAGTGCATTGAAGCAATGATGTTAATCGATATTTAATATTAGCTATAACATGTTAAACAGAATCATGAAAGGAACATTTAAAAAGCAACTCAAGTAATGAGCTAAACCTAGTCACCGACAATCTTCACTATTTCTGATTCAGTCCTTTATTTAGTGCATATATACCAATGACTGTAAAAAATATGGACGACGCGACAGCCCCTTTTCCCATTGAACGCCTTGAGGGCAAAACGCCTGCTTGACGGGCACAAACTGTCGCAAAAGACTGCTGAAATTGGAGCCAGACATGCGCAGAAGGATTGTCTGATGGAGCCAGAGGAGGAGCCGCGAAAATGAGCGGAGTCGAGTTTCCAACCAAACGCTTTATGTAAAATCAACTACGCCCCCCGAACTGCTCAGCATGCGTTTGCTGTCATATCAACACAGATGGATGTAATAACATTAACAAATATGAGGGTTTTATATATTCAATCGCGCCAGCTCCGGGCCGCAGCGCATAACCTACTCGCGGCGTCGCGGGCTGATTCCAGCTCGCATGCGGCAGCGTCGGCTCGCTCGGCCGCCGCATCTGGCTCGATTGACTCGGGCTGGAATCGGGCAGTGAGTCCAGGCATCCGGAGAAGGTCCAGCAGAGGTAGTCAGTCTGAGCTCTGAGGGGTAAGCCCTGACCTTAGCGAAACAGTGTTCCACCAGGATCATGTATGTCAGAAACTGTAGTTTACTGCTGAACTCATTTTTTCATGGTAAAATATCACAGAAATCGAGTAATAACACTTCAGTCTTCTGCCGAAGCTCAGACGCGCTGCTTTGAGAAACTGTCAATCACAGCTGTCAATCACGATGACACGCCCAGCATTAAATTACTGCTAAAACTGTTTACAAAAATGAGGATCTGCACCTATTTCAGCACAATAATCAGTGCCTTAATCCACCAGAACCATCTTTCGGGACATTTTATTGCAAGTGTAATACATTTTTTTAATTTGGGCTCAAGTCTCCTTCATTAACACGGAGGAGGCGGGCTTTATGACTTGTACTGCAGCCAGCCCCCAGGGGGCGATCTAACGGCCGGGACCTTCACTCAAACGCAGGCTTGCGGCACACTTGATATATACTGTAATTTTATGAAAAATAATATAGCTTATTTCCATTGTGAAAGGGTTATATACAAAAGGAGCTTAAAGCAACCTTTTTTTATCACTAGAGATTTCAGTCCCTTCAGTTTAATACAAGTCTGGATTTTTGAAAACTCCTGTTAAATTAATCAGTTAACTCCTGTTAATTGATCAGTTCAGTTTAAGAAAGGTTGTAGTTATTGTAATTTTAATCATTTTAAAAGCACAAAAATAAAATTACATTGGTATCAATGAAAAGCAGTATACTTCAACAAACCAGCATCACTACACTTTTACAATTTCAGTTTAGGCTTGGTACCAAAAGCAGCAGCACCTACTGTTGAAACCAGAAGTTTACATACACTCTAAATAAAGGAATAAAACCATTTTTCAAAAAATGTCTGATGGTAAATCATACTAAACGCTTACTATTTTAGGTCCGTTAGGATTACCTAAATCATTTACATTTGCTAAATGCTAGAATAATGAGAAAATTTTTATTAATTTCTAGACAGTCAAAAGTTTACATACATTTCCTTGGTATTTTTTTATCTTTGCTTTCAAACTGTATAACTTTGGTCAGATATTTTTAGTATCCTTCCACAAGCATCTCACAATAGTTTGAAGGAATTGTGGCCCATTCCTCCTGAATTGGTGTAACAGAGTCAGATTCCTCGCACAAGCTTTTTCACTTGTCTATAGGATTGAGTTCAGGGCTTTGTGATGGACACTCCAAAACATTCACTCTGTTGTCCTTAAAGCATATTTTAACTAATTTGGCAGTGTGCTTAGGGTCATGGTCTGTCTGGAAGACCCATTTGTGGCCAAGTTTTAATTTCCTGGCTGATGTCTTGAGATGTTGCTTCAGTATTTCTACTTTATGATGCCATCTATGCTGTGAAGTGGACCAGTTCCTCCTGCAGCAAAACAGCCCCACAACATGATGCTGCCGCCTCATACTTCACAGTTGGGATGGTGTTCCTCGGCTTGTAAGTCTTTCCCTTTGTCCTCCAAATGTAACACTCATTATGGCCAAACAGTTCAATCTCCATCAGACCACAGGACATGTTTCCAAAAATTTTACTCTTTCCCAGTGTAATTTAGCAAATTGTGATCTGGCTTTTTTGTTGATTCTGGCTTGTTGATTTTCACAAGGAATTGATTTTTTGATTGATTTTTGTCAATCAAGGAAGCAGTGCGTTTGAGGGTTTACTTAAATACTATTCTACAGTTGTGTCTCCGATGTTGTCAATCAGCCTATCAGAAACTTCCAAAATCTTGACATCATCATCTAAGCTTTTTCAGAGGCAAAATAATCTTATTGTATGTAAACTTTCAAGAAAGGTTATAACAATTTCTCCAAACATATCTCTCTCATTATTCTGCTATTAAGCAGAACAGAAACAAATTTGATAATCTGAGTTTACCTAAAAGAGAAAAAGTTTAGTCACATTAACATCCGACTTTTTTTAATGGTTATGTGCCTTTTTATACAGTGCATGCACACTTCTGGTTTCAACTGTACATAGATCCGTAGTTTACTCTTCTTGAGAAATAAAGACGTTTATTTTGAAAGTAAAGCAGAGACTAAATATGTTTTTGGTCACCTAAGCCTTGTTCATTCATTCTTTCATTCATTTTCTTTTCGGCTTAATCCCTTTATTAATCTGGGGTCGCCCCAGCTGTCCTAACCGCCAACTCACCCAGCACATTTTTACGTAGCGGATGCCCTTCTAGCTGCAACCCATCTCTGAGAATAGGCCTAGCTCATATGGGGAAATTAATCCGATATGAATTGGTCCCAAACCTTAAATCTCATATACTACTCGGTGGGCCATTTATTTGGATACACCTTATTAAACTACTTATTGGGAAATTCACAAACAAAAAAAAAAAAATGGTGTGCTTGGTTTTAAACATAACTTTATTCTTTCATGAGTTATTTACAAGCCCCCTCACATATACTAATGTCCAACAAACAGAACGTTAATATCACCAACCATTTCATTCTATTAAGTTGTGTCCATATAAACGGCCCACGCTGTTGAACAAAAAATTGCTATTGTGATGTAGCACAAGCAGTTAAGAATGTTAATGAAAGAGAGAGACAGAGAGAGAGCGCAATGTCCGTCACGTAAACAACAAACTGAAACTGTTGCATACATCACGTGCGTAAATTATACCATGGAAATGACATTAAGATGCCTACTGGTACTTTGATAAAATAAAAACTTTTCTGCCATAAACTATAGTAAAACAGCTTGTCAAAAGAATGAAAAAAAAAACCTGCAAACTGAATAAATACAGTAATGGAGAAATGAGCTTTCTTTTATTATTTGGTGTCAGTCACTTTTTCCCCTGGTCGTTGCGTCTTTGCCGCGTGCAGTGTAAATGCAGACAATCGGATACGAGTCACTTTTTAAAGATGTAAGAAGGTCGTCAAAAAAAATCAGAGATAGTCACAAAATCAAATTGATCATCAAAATCTGCAATGTAAATCCAGCCTTAGAGAAGCTTTTTGACAAGTCCCCAGTTTTGTCTTTCATAATCTTAAGATATATGAAGTTGGCAGATTGGTTCAGATAAAATTGAAGATGGCATTACATATCATACTATACAATGTGAATATTTCCCACCAAGCAATTTTGTGTTTAAAAGACATCTAAACAAATACCTCTTGGCTAAAACAAGGTTCTATTCGGGCTTTCTGTAAAAATCTAAATGTCTTACAATTAGATTAGCATTATGCTACTTATTAGCATCTTGCTCAAAAAAATTCAAAAAAGAAATTATATAGTTTTCCTATTTAATGCTTGGCACTTCTGTGGTTACATTGTGTCTGACTGACAGAAAAATTATTGTGTAAATTATAAATTATAAATATGTCTTGAAACTAGACTAGGAGTTTTTTTTTTTTATTAAAATAAATTTGAGAGAGATGTTTATGCTAATAGTCTTATCTAGTTCAATGATTTACACTAAACTAAGGTAAAAGTGCCCCTGCCAGATCTGGAAATGGGCTGAATGGATTCAAATTGGTAAAACTCAACATTTTAACTCTAGGGGAGTTGTAAAATAAGCCCGTATCCACTCAATCCTCAGCTTATATAACTCAATCTGTGTCCCAAGACAAAATCCATTTAGTTCAAAAAAAGATTTTATTATATATCAGTTCACTTTTTATAATGAAAGTGGACTAGGCGCTGTCCAAAAGGGATTTAGAATGTACTGTAAGCCATTCAGGCTTGGAAAAGCACAAGGAAAATGTGAATTATGGAATATATCTTTCTGGTTTTGGCATATATTTACAATCACTGGTTTGTCTCTTTCTAGCTTGAGTTACAGTGGCCATTTCAGGATCACACCAGGACTGCAAAAATGTAGGTCTCAAACTCATAAACCACTTGTTACATAGTAAAATAGTTCTGAATGTAGTTGTTCTAATATCTCTTCTTGTGTTCAGATGCCTGTGATCTGACTTTGGATCCAAACACAGTAAACACACTACTTATTCTGAGTGAGGAGAACAGAAAGGCAACACATGTGGAAGAACAGCAGTCATATCCCGATCTTCCAGAGCGATTTGAGCACCAGGAGCAGGTTCTGTGTCAAGAGGCTCTTACTGGACGCTGTTACTGGGAAGTAAAAGGGACTGGGAGAGTTGATACATCTGTGACGTATAAAGGAATCGGCAGAAAAGGAGGAAGTGATTGTAGGTTTGGATACAATGACAAATCCTGGAGTCTGTACTGCTGTAAAAACAGATACACTGCCTGGCACAATAATACGAATCTAGACATACCTGCGCCTTTACCACAATCTGACAGAGTAGGAGTGTATTTGGACTGTTCTGCTGGCACTGTGTCCTACTACAACGTTTCTGACAAACACACACTCACACACATACACTCATTTCACACCACATTCACTGAATCGCTGTATGCTGGATTTAAAGTTTATCCTGATTCTTCAGTGTTTCTGTGTCAACTGAAAAACCTGCGTGTAAGAAAAGACAAATCTCTATCATAATTACTGATGTGTGGCGACAAATTTATTTTAATAAATGTTGCCTAATTTATTTTAATGTTAATGCTATCCCAGTGGTTCTCAAACTGTGGTACTGCTTCCTTCTAGTGGTATGCGGAGAAATACTGAATAAGGAAAGAAACAATAATAACAACAAACTTTTAACCCTTTGACGCGAATGATTACACTGATGTGATCAGCACCGGCTGTTCCCTGAAGCGTACGACTAAATCGGTGTGCATAGAATGTTTACTTTAGTTCATCACGTCATCAGATGCTAGAAATCAACCCGCTTAGGTGCAGAGCCAGAGAAAGTGGCGCACGGCACTTGCGGAGCATACACACACACACTAGAGAAGCCCTCTTGCAGGCCAGTGCTGTTATGTTGACATTTCAGTTACTGCAAACTCTGACATTTCCCCATGCTGCATCACAGGTAAAATAATTATCACAAATGTGTTAAAATGTGTGCTCGTAGTTGTGTAAAAAAAATGCATATTCAATATATATAGTTAGTTGTTTTATAAAGCAGCTTTTCTTTTTTTTTCTTTTTTATCTGGATGTGATTCAAATGTCGTGGGACACAGAACATAGACTCAGACGACTTTATCTTGCTTGAAGCTTAGAGCTAGAATATATCTCAATTAAAGTAGTCTCTGGGCTCTATTTTGACGGTCCATGCGCAGAGCGCAAAACGCAGGGCGCAAACGCTTTCAGGGTGTGTCATAACGCATTTTTGCTAATTTAAGGACATGAAAATCCACTTTGCGCCGTGGCGCATGTTCTAAAAGGGTTGAGTTTATTTTCTGAATGAGTTATAGGTGTGTTTTGAAAATAAACCAATCAGAGTCTCATCTCCCATTCCCTTTAAGAGCCAGCTGTGTCGCGCCAAGAGCGCATTTGCTACTAACATGACGTAAAGTTCACTTTCGCTCTTGTGGATAGGGAACCTTTATGCACAGACAACAGTTAGCCTATAAATAATTAATTGCATTTGTTAGGCACAAAGATTTGTTTCAAAACTATTTCTAAATTTAGTTCTAATTTCCAGCAAACAAATAAATGAACAGTAATAACAAAGTGTGGTCAAAAACCTGAGTTATTTCCAAATACACATGCTGTGCCCCATATGGTCTAAAACCTGACAGGTGGGCAAATCTAAGCTTGTTTTAATAAAACAAATATAAATATGGATATAATAAATAATACTGCTAATATTAATAACATTATACAAAAGCAAATTGAAAGCACTGAAAAAGCCTCCCGAGATGAAAGATTATAGGCAGTGGTTTTTAAATTCATGTAGGCTAGAAAATAATATGTTTTGAATTATTTATATCTTTATATTTATATCCTATATATATATATATATATATATATATATATATTAGTGCTGTCAATCGATTAAAAAAATTAACTAATTAATCGACACTTTTAAAAAAATTGATCGCGATTAATCGCATTTAAAATACTGAAACATGTAATTTTGCCTATTTAAATGTAAAATTAATGTAAACGCAAGAAAAAAAATATTTATATTCAAAATATTATTGTTTAATAGAATTTTTGTTTAACTTGTAACACAGATTTCTTCATGTAAACAACATACCCACAATAAACCATCAAGATCCTGGCTTGACAGCCATATTTATTACAGAAATTAAAACACAGGCATGTTAATGACATTTAAATTTCAAAACAATCAATGCCAATAAAGAAAACATTGATTTGAACAAAAAATGCCAAAATACAGGAATTGCAGATATGGAAAATGAAAAATTATAGTAATAAACTATAGAATACAAACTGTTGCACTCATTGTAAAGTTTTATTGCTGTGAGTTGAGAACATTAATTATAGAGTAGAAACAATTTTGCTTAATCCTCCTTTACATTTATCCAGTTGCTAAGACTAGGAGTATGACAAGTGCACAGAGACTCCCAAATGCCCGCAAATGAATGATAATTTCTTGCAAACCGGTCGTTAAATACATTGCACACCCCTCGCGCCCCTACTCAGATACGTCGCTCACTCCACCCCTGACACCCCTCAATGGGCCTGTCACAGACACACACACAGACAGACACACACAACGCGCTGCAGACGTTTTGGCCCCAACGGCCTTCCATACTGGAGCGACTCCCCTCAGATTCAACACGCATGATCTCGTTCATCATATTTGCTAAGCGTCCCAAACTAAGCGTCCTAAAGTATTACTGTATTTCACAAGGATTCTGACACAACAACGCGAAGCACACGCTTTCGTTGCGTTTAATGAGGAAAAACGCTAAACTTGGGAGGGCTCATGCTGAAAGGCAGAGTAATGCCCTGTCTTTGACAGCTCGCGACTTCACCTAGAAGCCCCTGTCTGCAGCCCGCAGATCTGGGCGGGGATGAATGTGGGGCGGGGCTGCACATTCAGCCACGCCCACCTGTAAGTTCATTGGTAAGTGGAAACGCAATAGCGTGAATGCTAACTACGTGGTGTCAGTAAACGGGAAATGCATGTACAATTTCTTAAATATTGTTTTTATTGTTAATAAACACAAAAATGCACAAAAGTGGGCATTCTTGATGAGTGTTTTATATGTTAATTATGTTAACAGTTATTTGAATTTCATAATGGTATTTTTCCTGCTAAAAAATATTACAAAAGACTCAAAAGACTCTTTTCACAATGGTGTCACTTCAGAAACGCATTGATTTTAGTTCTGATATTTTAATGGTTTATTATTTTGCTTCAAAATGCAAATGCATATTGCATATTTACAGCAAATAAAGGTGGAGTCTGAAAAAATAAATAAATAAAAATGCAGTGCTTTCAGTTCAGTTTAATTTTTTTCCCTTTGAATGGGAGAGTTCTCTGGAAAATTTACAATTGAAAATATTAAAATTATACTATTACAAATATTGGGCATGTGTCCAATTATTTCTCTTTCAATACTGCACTGCTTTGAGTTTTATTAAGAGCAGGGATAAGCTATTATTTATTAAGGGAAGTATATGTTTGTAACCTTTTTACTTATTAAATCAGATTATTTCATAATATAATGAATTTATTTTTACTTTGATGCTGCTATGAATATACATGTATATGATCTGTTATATGTAAATGTTCCAGCATGAGTAAAATTTTTTATTAATTTTTTTCATATTACATGGTGTGTCATCTATGAATGCAATCAATTTCATTATTTATCATTTACTAATCCATTAAAGTTTTGTTCAGTTTCTCCATTTGAATGAAGACAGTGCTCTGCTGCCACCTACTGGTTGTTTTAATATCTGTTCTACAATTTAATTAATAAGTTACAAATAATTTCATAATCTAATATTACTGAATTAAAAAGCAGTCTTCTTGTTTTTATTTTTGTATTATTTGTAAATACAGGGTAAATACTTTAATACCACTTTCTAACAACCCTTCTGGATCCATTTCTGCACTGTAGATCTTTAAAAATATTTTTTATAATGATTTTGTTTGGTTATTAAGAGTCACGTACAACATTGTTATTCTATTTCTTTTAATTAGAATATTAAATACACTTAATATTATATTAATAGTGTGGCACAAATGGCAAGTTTTATTTATTACTTATCTATCAGGACACAAATTAATGAAAATAAATTTGACATTAATAAGTGCAGCACTCGTGTAAACTTCTGATTTTTTTATTTGACAAATCCTGATAAATAAATACCAACTTCATCTTCAGTTAAAACACCAACACAAAGCAATACAGTCAGTTGAAAGTCCCTCTTTCTCGGTTCAAGTAAAAATCTGGCAGATCTGTGTTTTTTAGATGTCAGATGTCTCACCTACAGAACATCTGTGTATGCACATGCACACGTACAAAAGGAAGACTGACAATTTATAGAAAATATTAATAATAATTTAAGATACAGCAGTTTGTGATTATTATCTTTAATAAACATAAAAACAATTATATATTTTTACAGGAAAATTCCACTACAGCATTAAAGTAACAATCTGCAGTAAAAAGTGCTTGGCATATTCTGTACTCTTTATCATGTGTACACAGACACACACACACACACACACACACACAGCCTGCTTCTTGAATTTTGGATTACTGACAATGGCTCGGCGAGGCAGTGGCGCAGTAGGTAGTGCTGTCACCTCACAGCAAGAACGTTGCTGGGTCGCTGATTCGAACCTCGGCTCAATTGGCGTTTCTGTGTGGAGTTTGCATGTTCTCCCTGCCTTCGCGTGGGTTTTCTCCAGGTTTTCCGGTTTCCCCCACAGTCCAAAGACATGTGGTACAGGTGAATTGGGTAGGCTAAATTGTCTGTAGTGTATTAGTGTGTGTGTGAATGTGTGTGTGGATGTTTCCCAGAGATGGGTTGCGGCTGGAAGGGCATCCGCTGCGTAAAAACCTGCTGGATAAGTTGGCGGTCCATTATGCTGTTGTGACTCCGGATTAATAAAGGGACAAAACCGACAAGAAAATGAATGAATGACAATGGCTCAGAAGGTCCTGGATGTCAGTGAGAGTTGCAGAAATGTCCCATCACCATCCTGTGTGACAACTCTCAGTAGGATCCACTGCAGGATCTCAGGCGGCATCTGTACAAAATAACCAACAATCATCAACATGTCGCTTAACATACAGTATATTAAAGTTAAACTCAAAGAATTAAATATATTTGTACTAGGCATGCCCCCTCCTCACATTCCCCTTTGCATAAGTTTCATGCATGGGTTATAAAGTAAACAAAAAAAAAGAGAACATGAAGTGTAAATAAAAATTATTAAATGCACAAATCTATTAAAACAAAAAGAGAGAAAGAACTGAGGTAAAATAAAATAAAACAGAGAATATGCTCCTAAGGAATCATAGTGATGACTATATATCAATGCCAATGATCTGCAAACAGAATGTAGTATAGATCAGTAAGTTAAGAATCAAGTTTTATATTGTACATATTTAGCATTAACATTACCAGAGTATATAAATTAGAGAACATGCCACAAAGAAAAATATATTTTGTTATCTTTGATATTAATAAACTTCAAGTAATGGACTGTTTTGCTCAAAACTCTTTAAAGTTTACATTATTCTTCTAAGTGAATAAAACCACCAACTGTACGATCAACCTGGAAAACGGCAACCCTAACACAGAAAACATTTTTTTAAGGCTTTAAAACTTCATATTTCCTTAAAGGCCTTTAGTTAAATAAATGACACATAATACGTGAGGTGTACTGCACTATAATTTGACCATTTACATGACAGAAGATGTGTACTTACCATGCAGAGATGAAAACCGAAATCGAAAGCATACATTACATCAACGTCTGTTTCCGTGAACCAATGAAAGATTTGTAGGCGGAGTGTTTAGTTCCGCCCATTTATGGGCGGGGCTGCATATTCAGCTCCGCCTCGTATTCAGCCCCGCCCCGATCTGCGGGCTGCAGACGGGTGTACTTGACTTCACCAGACGTTCTGAGTACATTTACATAAGACACCAATACTCCGATTTTAATATGATTGAGATAATACTCTAATTAAAATTCTACCGTGTAGCCTTAAAAGGAACCTTACCTTAAAGGAACACCGAGTCACGAAATGCGGAGGATTTTCTTTCTGTTCGCCATGCGGTATCAACTTACAACAGAAGTCGAAAGTTAAAAATGAAACACCCGAAATTGCATGAAACTCTGGATAACTTGTGATGCAACTAATTGTTTTATACTGGAACTTGCCTTCAAAAAGTGCTTCCTTGGTCTTATCCACATTTATTGCATGCTGAACACACGTCCACCACAACAGGAAGTAAAAAAACCTGAACTACATTAACTGCATTAATTTTTTTTAACGCGTTAATTATTTAAAATTAATCGCATGCGTTAGCGCGTTAATTTTGACAGCGCTAATATATATATATATATATATATTATATATATATTATATAATATCTTTTTCATATGTAAAGATATTTGCGTATTGCTCTACATCTTGTGTGTAGTGTGTAAACCAGGCGCACTTTGCGCCAGACAATAGACCTACTTTGTTCTGGTCTAAAGAACAGACTATTACAGTTTCTCAAAATAGCAACGTGCCAAAACACGCCTGCTTTTTTAGACCACAACGCCTATGGGCGCACATTTGAGTGCAAATGCATTTGCTATTTAAACAGAGTGACGCAATACCTCAAAATGACCCTTGTGTCGAGCTGAAAGTAGCAAAAGACTATTGTGCCGAGCCTTGCTCCACATTGCGCCGGGTATATGATAGGGCCCTCTGTGTGCGGTACACAAACTCCACACGAAAATCACGGAAATTTCACATGTTTGAATGGATAAACAAGTATCCATTGGTCAAGCAGTGTATTAATGCATGTAATCACTCACTTTTCTGACACCCGTACTGTAAAGGACGGGAAATCATTTTAAAATAAAAGTTAATGTTTAGATTTCAAAGATAAACAAATATGTTGTGTGTACATGCACCATATTTCAAAATTTATCAAAAATGGTTTATATATGAATATGACATATAGCTTATATTTATTTACGTTTCCAGGTTTTGATGAATAGGTTACTATGTTAATACTTCTCATTCAAGTATAGCAGTTTTCTTTTAAGTTAAAGAAAATAGCTCACCATTTTTGAATATATTTTTTATATTCATATTTTTATATGCATATTTTATTTTCATATTTTATATGCATATTTTTAACATTAACTTTATTAGATTTTTTTTTACCTGTACGCACAGTACAGTGTTAATGTTCAAATTATTTATAATGTTTAAAGTGGCTAAAAATAATAAATATTCTTAATAAGAAATAATCTGCCTAGTCTATTTGGTGGTACTTGGAGACACAATTTTTTTTCTGAGGTGGTACTTGATCGGGGGGGGGGGGGTAGTTGAAGAACCACTGTGCAGTTTCATCTCAGCAAAATGTGTAAAGTGGCTTATTGCAATTATACATTGTGTACATCTATCACACACAAAAATGTAACTCTAAAAATATAGTAGTTCTGTTATAGAAATTTGTATGATTTTGAAGTTTCTTTAAATCAAATGACAATTCTGTCATCATTTACTCTTCCTTTACTTGTTTCATAGCTGTTAGGTTTTTTTTCCGATTGAAAACGAAGATATTTTAAAGAATGTTGGAAACCTGCAACCATTGACTATTTCCTGCTATGGAAGTCAATGGTTACACGTTTTTAACTTTATTCAAAAAATATCTTTTGTGTAAGAAACTCAGATTTGGAACCACTTAAGGTAGAGTAAAAATGGAGTAATTTTTTTTTATTTTTGGATGAACCATCCCTTTTAACTGTATTCAAGTGTCTTCTCCCCAGTGTCCGTATAGGGCATGCTAAAGCAAATTACAACAATGGAAAGCTACAATATTTCAGATTATGGATTCCAGCATATCAAGCAAGAAAGCAGTATAAAATGCTTGTGTATTTCTAGGTAAATTGTCAGTTTAATACAGATGCTGCTAATGAAGGATGTAAGAAATTAGAAAGGTAACGCTGACTCGCAGGGGGAGTATCACAATGGAGTGTCAGTCAAAACACTTGAAGCAAAATCCATTTCTTTGAGTTATTTACCAATGCCAGTACATTCTCTCCACATGGTATAAGACTGGTTTCCACATCATAAATACATAAAGACCAAACAAATAAATCAGTAAACAATAAGTGTTTCTGGCTCTGGTTGCTCTGGTTATTGCCTAACAATGCTTTAGAGGATTTCGATTTCAAAGTTATACCTTTGTGTTTTATGTGAATGCTAGAGCAAAGAGAGATGTCTAGATATAAATTGAATGGGCATGTCTGCTAGAAAGGCAAGGAGTTTAGGTGCCAGGTGAGAAGGATCTACCGCCTACAGTTGATTTTGATAAGAATAATCAATTTCCCAGAGTTAAATGAGCATAGTGATCACAAGGGGCTTTACTACACCATCGAGCTTGCTCAAATACAGAGTGCATTAAATACTGTCAATAAGATTTGAAAATGTATACAATGTCTAATGTGGAGTCAATGCAATGCTGACAGAATCTGTCTAATGTTATTTTGAGAGTTCATACTGTATCTTCATTTGTATTTGGAATACTATGGGGGTGAGTAATTAACAACAGAATTACATTTTTTTTTATGAACTAACTGTTTAGAAAGTTGCAATGAAACAGATATTTTTGAAAGAAATATTTTTATGTAGATTTTAGTGTAACATTTGACCACAATTACCTATTTTTACAAGGTTATGGCTTTTCCTGAAATGTTAGATTGCTAAATTGATTGTTCTGCACATTACTAGTAAGTCTAATTATAAGTGGAAATTGCAACATTTGCCATAATTTATTAACACGGTGGCTCAGTGGTTAGCAGTGTCGCCTCAAAGCAAGAAGCTGGTTCAATTGGCATGTCCTCCCTGTGCTCCACTTTGCCCCACAGTTCAAACACATGCGCTATAGGTGAATTGAATAAACTAACTTGGCCATAGTGTATGAGTGTGTAGGAGTGTTTCCCAGTACTGGGTTGCAGCTAGAAGGGCATCCGCTGTGTAAAGCATATGCTGGATAAGTTGGCGGTTCATTCAGATGTGACAACCCCTGATGAATAAAGGGACACACCCGAAGGCAAATGAATACATTTTTTTTAGGGTCTCTGGTGAGTCAGTCTCCCCCTCAGTGATTATTTTGGATTGCTGTGTCTTTGTCCGCTAGATGTCGTAGGCTACTGCAATAACAAGTATCCACTTTCTCTTTCGATTCCAAGGAGTAAGGGGAAGCTGCAGCTCCGGGCCTGCAGCTCCATACTATTGGATTACAAGAGCAGTTTCATTTTTAAGACGATTTAAAAACATCAACTCTGCTGTGTGCGTCTATTGGTAAGTTTTGTGCTTTAATAAGACTTCGTCTTTCGGACCTTTGCGGAACCTTAAAGGCTAACGTTACAAACAAACACCATGCACCGACAAATAAAGTTAAAGTTGATTGTATCGTTAATGGATTATGATAATATTACGTTTTAACTCTTCTGTGACTGAATACCCTTACAAAAAAGGCGTTTATTCATTCAAGTGTGCTAATAGGTTATGTGTATTATAAACAAACAAAAAAAGAAAGAAACTTTCGGTCACTTCCGGGTCTTTTTTATGTTCTTGGTAATGTACTTCTCATTAATGTACTTTAATGTTGCAGTTAACGTGACTTTTTTGTAGTGGGCGTATATTTGACTTGTACGTGATTATTTACATAGAAGTACAAATACGTAAATATATATATATATATATATATATATATATATATATATATATATATATATATATATATATATATATACACACAATTAATATTATTATTTTTTTATATTCTTCAAAAAATATTGCTTGCATACTTTCTCAGTTTGAGACGAGACTTTCATTTTGTTCTAAACTAAACAGCATGTCTGAGCAGTCTTAACTAAAACTAACGTGCAACATCTTAAAATACATTTTAGAGGGGTTTGGGCCTTTTCCAGGCTGGCATCAGACATTTTCCAGCCTCCTCTTAGCCGATCAGGCTGGAATGTGACCAGCTAAAACCAGCTGGAAATGTCTGAAACCAGCCTGGAAAAGGCCTAAAACCCTCTAAAACCAGGCTGATCGACCAACTTATGGAAGTCAATGACAATTTTTGGTTAATGTGTGTAATATGTATTTATTTTGAAATGCATCTAGTTTATTATTAAAATGTATTTAAGTTTACAGGGTTTTGAGGGATATTAAGTGTAATTCTGACCTACAGTATTTGATAGTATATGATTAGTTATTCCAGATGGTACTGTAGGTCAGACTACAAAAGTTATTATGCAACTAATTTGACATTCAAGAGTTCACACTTAGCTGATGATTGATTATAAGCAAGTTTGGCATGCTGTCCCGGGAGAGAGCCCTGAGCTCGAAGGTTCTTGAGCCCTGGGCTCCCTCCCGTTTGGAGGAAGAGAGGGGAGCCTCGAGCTCAGGTAGATCTCGACAACTCCCCTTTTTATAATAGCTAAAGATTAAGATTGAAGGCTATTAAAAGATATGCTGCATTATTAGATTACCTGTATTGAAATTTAGATTTAACGATTAACTTGTTGTACATGTTTTTGGAATGTGGGAGGAAACCGGAGAACCCGGGGAAAACCCACGCAAGCACGGGAAGAACATGCAAACTACACACAGAAACGACCACCGGCCTGTTAAGGAACTAGAACCGGTGACGTTCTTGCTGTGAGGCGACAGTGCTAGTCACTGAGCCACCGTGCTGCCCTATGGAGGGAAAGGTGAAAAGGTAGGGGTGGAAGGGGGGATTCTTCAAATCGAAGATGACTGTAGTGAGAAAACCCTGGCTCTTTATAGTGGTTAGGAATGGCCTGATTGGTGGATCAAGCATGCTAATGCAGGACCAGCCATGTTCAATCATAATCACGTGCTCCTCTCGAAATTAGTTTATGAATAAACTTCACTTGCTTTCAGGCTAAATGTAGACCCAAATAACTATTTTATGAGAAAACAAAGTCTTGTAAACACAATGTCTATCGGTGCTCTTGATCTTCCACTTTCAGACCACTTTTTCCTTGAATAAACTAATTGGTGGGATTATGCATTCACAATTGTTTGAACCATTTTGGGTTGCTCAACTGTATATTTATATTATCTTTTATTTTAATTATTAATATAATTTAAAATGCATATCAGAGTGAAATTTCAATTGCATTTAAAACCCTGCTGTAATTCGCACTCTGATGACATTGACTGTTTTCAAGTTGAACACCAGTGTTGTTTTCGTAATTTTTTTTAAACTAAGGCCTATTGTGATTTATTTAAATGTGTTAATGAACTTGATAAGTATTAAATGGACACTTTACACATACTCTGTGAGTAGTCAATCATTCCTGTTTATTTAATGACTAGACTATTTGTGGACTATTGTTAGACGTCTGTTTGTCCATGTTTCAGCCAATGTTTCAGTCCCTGCTTGGACGTCTAGACATTTTTTAAAGAAAACAAAATGCATTTTGGGTTGCTTATAATGTTTTGTGTGTATTATGGGAATATTCTGGTTACTTTAGTCTTTTTCCAGTAGTTATGGGTAAAATGCATCTCATTTTAGGTTGTTAGACTGAACTGAAGATGGTGCATTAATTTCCTTAATTTATGTTCTTAAAATGACATAATCAGTTATGAATAATTTGTTTTCTATCTCTTGCAAAGGACTAAATCAGTCTCCAGTGGACTGGTGAAGGCACAGGCTCTAAAATGAGTTTCAATGAGAAGAAAGACGATGGGGGTTCTGTGCATCTTCAGCCACAGAAAGCAGCATTTACAGAGCCCAGCTGTGTGTCTATGAAGAGTAGCAGCTCTATGTTTGAGCCTCTCAAATTCAGAGATAAAACAGTCACATCTCATGTCCAGTGAGTCTGTTTATACTATTAGTAAATCATTGTAACCATTAATCCTAAAGGCATAGTTCACCCACAATTCTGTCATCATTTGCCCACTCTTTACTTGTTCCAAACTTAGTTTTTGTCTACTGTTTAACACAAAATAAGATATTTGGAGAATGCTGATAACCTGTAACCATTTTTACTACGGAAGTCAAAGGTTATAGATTTTCAGGATTCTTTAAAATATCTCCATTAGTGATTAACAGAGAAACTTATCAAGAATTGAAACCCTTTGAGGGTGAGTAAAAGGTGAGTAAATTTTCATTTTTGAACTAACGTCTGTTCTTAATGTTACTTTTCTTGTGACAAGCTCTTTTTTTTACTATTTGTAACTTAATAGTATTTCAGAAATAAATAAACAGATCAAGGCCAAAGTATCGATGAACATTTTAATAACTTTGCTGCAATCCAAAGCAAAGTTTTAAACCATTTTCTTATTTTTAAATGAATTCAATCCTTATGTCATAAATTTCTAACTTGTATGACTTTCCTCTGTGAAACACAAAAGAAGATATTTAGGAAAATGTTGTGAACTGTCAAAAATAAGTTCAGAAAATGCATTTTCAACATATAACATTTATAAGTATATATGTGTGTGTGTATATACAAGACATACTATTTTATAGATACACTCATAGTTGCAGATACTTTAAGAACACCCTGTGGGGTGCTCATTTCATTTTTTTTTGTGCAATGATATATAATTCAGCAAGATATTATGTTAATAGTAATATAATAAAATGCTTTCCGATCCTAAATACAATCACAATACATATAAAAAAGGCATTATTAATTGGAAAGTCTTATAATTCCCCAATATGTTTTTACATTTCTGCGATCAAACAGTGTGATACCATTTCCATTCTACATTGCTTTAGGTTGTGTCTTGCTTAAGACTTGACTGACACAGCTTACTTGCTTGCCAAGTTTAATGTTGCCATTTTGGGACCATCCACCGAAAGTGAATAGACACTAAGTAAGACTGAGAAAGAACTTCTTCCTCCAGACTATAAACTTTTTTTTGCACATTGCACATTTACAGACACGTATAGACATTCACATCTGTACATTCATACGCTTTGCACACTCTCTGGTCATATATTGTGTAGTTCTGAGTGTGCTCCATGCAGGTGAGTGGGTTTGACAAACCACCTGTTGGATAAACGCTTTCCTCTCTTTATGCACCAGACACTTTGTTAGAAACACTTCTATGTTTTCATTGTTTGTTTATATAGCTAATTTTTATATGTTATATTTTGTCCTATTTTCTATATGATGTTTTTATCTAAAGTTTTAAATATTTTATATTTGTTTTTATTTTCTATAATTATAACGTCTATTTCTATATCTAAAATATTTTCTATCTAAAATGTTTTTACTTCTTATTTTATGTTTATGAGTTTCTTTTTAGCCTATGCTTTTAAATGATGATTCATGTTTTAATTGAGAAATTATTCATAAAATCACTTTGCCTTCCCAGTCATATTTATTTTCATATATATTGTAATAAAGGAGTTGTTCAACGCTTTTGTACATTTATATGGGAACAATTGTGTATCTTGATTTCAATTGTACCATAAAAGGTCTTTTCTGTGCCATATATGGTACAATTTTTACAAAGGTACAAAACTGTTCCTTAAGGAACATAACACAAATAAAATTAAAATTTGAGTTCTGTGTAATTGCATCACATGTTGTCCCCTGTTTGATTTATCTTTAGATTATCTTCTGTTTTGTTTGATTACAGTTAGAATGATCTTTGCCAAACATAGTCTTAAAACTAAAAAGCTCTCGACTCTTGAATTTTACTAGATTGCAGCACCAGGAAGCAGCATGCCCAGAGCCCAGCTGTATGTCTATGAAGAGCGACAGCTCTATGTTTGAACCTCTTAAATTTACAAATGAATCAGTGACCCCTGATGTAAGGTAAGTCTGTTTTATATAATTACTAATTTATAGCCAACTTGATTTAAAATTTAAACATTTCAAATAAAATCTATATTAAACAGTCTGTTACACCAGCTTGTGCATATACAGTAGGCAAAGGCAACCACCTAGTGAGACATATGGAGGCACAGATTAAATTATTCTTGTTGTAATTATTACTGGATATTCATTTGGAATTACTGCACTCATATCTGAGCACACAAAATGAGGGCTTTGCGGTTAGAGGGGCATTTTTTATGTTTATGCAAGCATAGGAGCATAAAGAGAATTAAAAAAGCCTTCCATTGATTTCTAGCCCTAAAAACAGCTTGATTGCAGTCTAATAGATTGTAGAGCCAAGAACTGATTCTCTCCTAGTGGTACAGTCAGAATATTATCAAGCTACAAGAAATCTTTTGTGTGTGCATAAGACAAAAGGAAAAAACATAATAGCAGTTTCTTCTTCTCAGTGTTAGCATAAATAACCTAATGAATATAATAATAATATAATTTTCATTTTTGGGTGAACTATCCCTAACCAATCTCTGTGTTAAATAATGCTGATTTGCATTTTTTTAATTCATGTTTTACTTGGTCTGTAATGTGTTTCCCTCCATGTCTTTTAATAGGGTGTTTCCTCACAAAGCAGCTTGTCCAGAACCCAGCTGTGTTTCTTTGAAGAGCAACAGCTCCATGTTTGAACCTCTTAAGTTCGAAGATGAAAAACTAAGCTTTGACTTCATGTAAGTTGGTTTATGTTTTAACCAAGCAGCAACCTCCCGCTCTCCCTCGTGAAGCAAATACGGTCGTTACTGAAACTGCAATTCATTGAAATTCCGCTAGTCCTGGCTCCATAATAAAGCAGATTTCTATTGAGCCCACTGTTAAAATGGCCAACTTTACAGCAGAAAAAAAGGTACAAAAAAAAGATTTTTGTTAATACAGCTCATATTACTCTTCATGACAACTGTGAGGGGGGTGATTTTTTTATAACTCATCCACTTCCTTTATATTAGGTTATATTAAGTCTGCATAATTAAGGGCGTGGCCACTTAAGTGACAGTTAGGTCTCACTGGTCGCAGTCACTTCACCTCAGCTGATTCAGCTGATCTAAAGCGTTGTCATACAGTGTTATGCCTGGAGTTCATCAATAGCCCAGCATTTACTAACATTGACTATATTTGAAGTGTTTGGAAGTAATTCTGTTGTTTCTCCTGTAGAAAAACGTCATAAGAATGCTTTGTGGCTCTGTGTATTACAACAGTGTTTTTAAAAGACTAAACACTTTATTGATATAGTGTACAACCAAACACATGAAGTCAGAACACAAATGAGTCACAGGTAATGAAGTATTAAGCGTTTCTCCCCCCCAAAAAAAAGCCTGTCTAATCAAAATGCCAGCATGCGTCTGTAGCTCTGCTCACTCTCCACCTCTTTGCCCTTGTTTTGGTATCCCCCGGCTATTGCGATGACGCGTGAACAAAACGGTGACGGTTGGCACGCCAACTGGTAGCTTCCTTTGGGTTCTTCAGAAACCTATGGGTGACGTCACGGATACTACGTCCATATCTTTTACAGTCTATGGTTTTAACTAATTATTTGTTTATGTGTTCCATTCAAGTTAACATTTAACCTAAAATAGCAATTTTTATAAATACTATTTGACATCAGATTAAAGTGATAACGGGTCAGATGCCATATTGTTCAATAACATTTCTAACTTTGTGAAGAATTAGTGTAGAATGGAATAAAAAGGAGCCTTTTATCACACCAGCTGCAAAAAATATTGTATGCAGTGCATCCGGAAAGTATTCATAACACTTCAATTTCTCCACATTTTTTTATGTAACATCCGTAAGCCTTACAGCCTTATTATGTTACATTCCTTATTTGGTGTACAGCCATTTTCAGATCTCTCCAGAGATGTTCAATAGTATTTCGGTCTGGGCTCTAGCTGGGCAACTCAAGGACATTCACCGTGTTGTTGTGAAGCCACTCCATTAATATTTTGGCGTTGTGCTTTGGGTCATTGTCCTGCTGGAAGATGAAGTGTCGCCCCAGTCTGAGGTCAAGAGCACTCTGAAGCAGGTTTTCATTCAGGATGTCTCTGTACATGGCTGCATTCATCTTTCCCCCTATCCTGACTAGTCTTCCAGTTCCTGCTGCTGAAAAACATCCCCACAGCATGATGCTGCCACCACCACGCTTCACTGTAGGGATGGTGGTAGCCTGGTGATGAGCGGTGCCTGGTGTTCTCCAAACGTAACCACTGGCATTTACTCCAAAGGGTTAAATTTTTAGTCTCATCAGACCAGAGAATTTAGTTTATTATGGTCTGAGAGTCCTTCAGATGCCTTTTTTCAAATTCCAGGTGGGGAGTGACTTGTGTCTGGCCACTGTACCATACAGGCCTGATTAGTGGATTGCTGCACAGATGGTTGTTCTTCTTTAAGGTTTTCCTCTCTCCACAGAAGAACGCTGGAGCTCAGACAGAGTGACCATCGGGTTATTAATCACCTCCATTACTAAGGCCCTTCTCCCCCGATCACTCAGCTTAGATGGCCGGCCAGCTCTAGGAAGAATCTAAACATCTTCCACTTACAAATGATGGAGGCTGCTGTGCTCATTGGAACTTTCAGAGCAGCAGAAATTTTTCTGTAACCTTCCCCAGCCAATTGTGCCTCAAGGCAATCCTGTCTCTGAGGTCTACAGACAATTCCTTTGTCTTCATGCTTGGTTTTTGCGTTGACGTGCACTGTCAACCCTGGGCCCTTATATAGACAGGTGTATGCCTTTTCAAATCATGTCCAATCAACTGAATGTACCACAGGTGAACTCCAATGAAGCTGCTGAAACATCTCAAGAATGATCAGTGGAAACAGAATGTACCTGAGCTCAATTTAGAGCTTCACAGCAAAGGCTGTGAATACTGATGTACATGGGATTTTTCAGCTTTTTTATTTTTAATAAATTTGCAACAATTTCAACAGTGTTTTTTCACATTGTCATTATGGGGTATTGTGTGTAGAATATTGAAGAAATAAATTAATTTAATCCATTATGAAATAAGGCTGTAACATAAAAAATTGTGGAAAAATGTGAAATGCTATCAATACTTTCCGGATGCACTGTATGTGGGAGCTTTAAAATAACCATTTGCTTATAAAATTAGAACTACACTGTAATCTCAGATAGTGATTTAAATGTAATGCTAATGTGCAATAAAATTACAGAGTCATGGGATGTTTATGTTGTTAAGACTAATAATTTCAAAACAAAATATAACAAATATAAATTGCATGGCTTGAGGTCAAATAAGCTATAACTGGCAGACGATCAAGACAGTCTGTGACTCCTAGGTCCAGTATCCACATTATAAAATAGTTAGTCATCTGTATTTTCTAGTCCATCGTCTGGATTTACATTCACCCACTTGCAGACAAAATCCACGCCTTACACTGTAAAGCGTGTATGCACTGTGACTACTTTTATATTGTTGATTAGCTGCTGGGGATTTCACTCTGAAGGCAGTCAGTGTCGACCATTCGCAACAGACTGTCATCGGTCCAATCAGCGCAGATTAGCTTCGCGCTAAGGAGGGGTTTGGGAACAAATGAATCACTGGACAATTTATATAGGAGTCGCTGGAATAATTAGGTAAAAAAAATATGCAGATTATAAGACCATGAAAGTGTTTTTGACCTTGCATGCATATTAGACTGTTGTTGGAGACCCTTACAACCAAAATATGACCCTATTTCATGTATAATAGGGGCTCTTTAAGTGATTTCTGAACAAGTGTTTTCTCAACACCTGTTTTGTTTTTTTTTCTCATTCCTTCAGAATTGGTCCATAAAAATGTAGTAATAAAACAGCACAAATAACAAACCAGAGTTTAATAAATTTATTTGATCACTTTGATTTGGGATTTTAGGCTTGAGAAGACTGAAGCCTCGGAGAAACCAATGCATGATGAATTGCAGAGAGTCAAGGGCCAACACAAAAGCAGCATGAAGAAAAAATATGAAACATTATTTGATGGAATGAGTCTACAAGACAACGAAACCCTTCTTAACAGTATCTATACACAGCTCTACATAATAGAGGGAGAAAGTGAGGGGGTGAATGAAGAACACGAAGTTCTAAATATGGAGAAATCAGCCAAAATGAAACACTCACAAGACACTCCAATCTTCTGCAATGATATTTTTACAGCATTAGCTGAAGCTGGATGTGAGGAGAAAGACAATATCAAGGTTGTTCTTACTAAAGGCATTGCTGGTATCGGTAAAACCATATCTGTACAGAAGTTCATTTTGGACTGGGCTGAGGGAAACTCCAATCAGCAAGTAGATTTCATGTTTGTGTTTCCATTTCGAGAGCTGAACTTGATTCAAGATCAACAATACAGTCTTCACAGACTTCTGCTGGACTTTTATCCTGAGATCCAAGATCTGAACACAAAGATTTTTAAGGAATGTACGGTTATGTTCATTTTTGATGGTTTAGATGAAAGCAGAATACCACTGATGTTTTCAGATGGTCAGAAAGTTTGTGATGTGGCTGAAAAATCTTCTGTCGGTGCGTTGATGTCAAACCTGATGAAAGGAGAGCTGCTTCCTTCTGCTCTCATCTGGATCACCACTAGACCAGCAGCAGCCAATCAGATCCCCTCAAAATACATCAACCGACTAACAGAAATTCAGGGATTCGATGAGCCTCAGAAGGAGGAATATTTCAGGAAGAGAGTTAGTGATGAGCATCAAGCCAACAGAATCATCTCCCACATCAGAAGAGCAAGAAGCCTCAACATCATGTGCCACATACCCGTCTTCTGCTGGATCTCAGCCACTGTGCTTCAAAACCTCCTGAAACAAGATGACAATGCAGAAATCCCTCAAACTCTGACTGAGATGTACATTCACTTCCTGCTGATTCAGATAAACACGAGGAATCAGAAATATGAGGAACGAGATCCAGAGAAACTCCTGCAGTCCGGCAGAGAAGTGATTGTGAAACTTGCTGAAGTGGCTTTCAAACAGCTTATGAAGGGAAACGTGATGTTCTACGAAGAGGACCTGAGAGAGAGCAGCATAGATATCACTGACGCCTCAGTATACTCTGGGATCTGCACTGAGATCTTTAAGGAGGAATCTGTAATTCATCAGAGGAAGATCTATAGCTTCATTCATCTGAGCACTCAGGAGTTTCTTGCTGCTTTCTATTGGTTTCATTGCTACATAAACAGACTCATGGAACCACTTAAGTTCTTTGATTCTCTATACTACTTGCTCAGAGGGATAGTAGACAAAGCGATAGAGAGTAAAAATGGACACCTTGATCTGTTCCTGCGGTTCCTGCTAGGTGTCTCAATGGAGACCAATCAGAGACTCTTGCAGGGTCTATTGACACACAATGAGAACAGCTCAGAGAGCATCGAGAGAACCACACAGTACATTAAAGAGAAGATCAAAGGTGGAGGTGGACTCTCCACTGAAAGATCCATCAATCTGTTCCTCTGTCTGCTGGAAGTGAAGGATCAGACGTTGTCCAGAGAGATTCAGGATTTTGTCAAATCAGAGAAGCATTCAGAGAAGAAACTCTCTCCTGCTCACTGCTCAGCGGTTGCCTACATGCTTCAGATGTCACTGGAGGTGCTGGATGAGCTGGATGTTCAGACATACAACACATCAGATGAGGGTAGAAGACGACTGATACCTGCTGTGATCAACTGCAGAAAAGCGTTGTAAATGTTTGCTCCATGTTACAGTAATAAAATCAGTTTCTTAAAAACAATTACAACTTCTATTGTTTACCACAAAGTTTTGAGATCATTTTGTTTTAGTTTGTAGAATGTCTTCTATTAAAATAATGTCTAGAATGAATTTATTTCAATGCTAATATTTGCACTGAAGTTAAGAATTAAATGTGTTTCACTGTTGCAGTTTTGCTGGGTGTAATCTCACTGTCCAGTCCTGTGAAATTGTTGCATCAGCTCTACAATCCTCAAACTGTGTCTTGAGAGAGCTGGACCTCAGTAACAATGACCTTGAGGATTCTGGGGCGAAACTGCTTTCTGATGGTCTGAAGAGTCCAAACTGTCACCTGGAGATGTTGAGGTAATTCATTGTCTAGAGCTGCGTCCCAAATCACAAACTTATGCACTATTCTACGCCATTTTGTAGTATAAATAGTGTAAGTAGTGTGTTCACACTGTAAACTCTCAAAATAATAAGTGCACTTTAATTACCCGGATGATGCACTCATTCAGCCGCTAAAATGAAGTGTGTAATGATGGACACTTCACACACTCAACGACCGCAGGTTTGCTTATGTAGCGGAAGGGGCGGAGCTATCGGACGCACATGTTGAATAACTTTATTTATTTTGGATGGTGAAAGCAAAATTCTCCTACGAGAGTGATTATAACGCCTCCCGATGGTGAATGCGGTTATACCCACGGCAGGTATTATTTGATAATTCAGTCATTTATTTCACTGATTTGGCAACCGTCAAACGTCATCAGGGAAACTGTTTGAATTTCCGCTTAGTAAAAAAAACAAGTGTGCCATTTGGGACGACACTAGTAAGTAAGTAAGTAAAGTTTATTTATAAAGCACATTTACTTCAGTTTGGCACTGACCAAAGTGCTGAACAAAACCATAGCACACACTCTAAAAGAGTAAAAGATAACAATAAAAGTAATAATAGGAATAAAAGTATTACAGCAACAACCACAATAAAGATTAAAAGCCTGGGAATGCAATAGAATAAAAATGTGTCTTAAGTCTGGACTTAAAAATAGAGAGAGAAGAAGCACTTGTAATATCCGGTGGCAGCTGGTTCCACAAACGAGGAGCAGCGACTGCAAAGGCTCTATCCCCTTTCAGTTTAAGTTGTGACAGAGGAACTTGAAGTAAAATTTTATTTGAGGACCTAAGAGACCGAGGAGTTGACTGTAAGTTAATAAGCTCTGATATATAAGAAGGTGCTTGCCCATTCAGTGCTTTAAAAACAATAAGTAAAATTTTGAACTGAATTCTAAAATTAACAGGAAGCCAATGAAGGGATGCTAAAACTGATGAGATATGAGCATGTTTTTTGGTGCCTGTTAAAAGTCTAGCTGCCGCATTTTGAACCAACTGCAACCGGGCCAATGAGGATTGGGGGAAACCAACATATAAAGAATTGCAATAGTCTAGGCGGGACGTGATAAAAGCATGTATGACCTTTTCCAGATCTTGAAAGGAAATAATGGATTTGAGTCTGGAGATGATCCTCAGCTGATAATAACTATTCTTAACCACTGAGCTAATTTGTTTTTCTAGACAAAGCTCAGAATCAAAGAAAACTCCTAAATTTTTTACTTGCGATTTAACATAAGGTGCAAGACTTCCCAAGCCCCCAATATACAACATTCTTGTTTTTGAGGGGCCGAAGAGAATAACCTCAGTTTTGTTATTATTAAGTTGAAGGAAGTTTTTTGCCATCCAACATTTAATATCCCCAAGACAATTAATTAGAGACTGCAGGGAGTTCTGAGATTTTAAGGGAACATACAGCTGAGAGTCATCTGCATAAAAATGAAAAGATATGTTATGTTTCCTTATAATATTACCAAGAGGAAGCATATATAAGTTGAAGAGCATTGGACCCAGAATAGAGCCCTGGGGGACACCACACAGAAGAGGGGCAGATGTTGACAAAAATTGGCCAACAGAAACTGAAAAAGACCTGGATTTCAGATATGACTGAAACCATTGAAGTGCTGAACCCTTAATGCCCACCCAATGTTCCAGACGTGACAGAAGTATGGTATGATCAACTGTATCAAAAGCAGAACTCAGATCTAGTAAAACCAAAACTGCATTACTGCCTGAATCTACTGACAGCAGTAAGTCATTCCACACTTTTAACAGAGCGGTTTCAGTACTGTGGTGCATAGTGAAACCTGACTGTAAAGGTTCAAGTTTATGGGACGATTTTAAAAAAGGCTGTAGCTGTGATAAGACAGCTATTTCTAGAACCTTTGACATAAATGGAAATTTAGAGATAGGACGGAAGTTATTTAAGCAATTTAAATCTGCATTGGGTTTTTTAAGCACTGGCTGGACAACTGCATGCTTTAAAAACGCAGGGACAGTGCCTGAAACTAAGCAGGAATTAATAATTGCTTGTATACTAGAACCTATTGTGTTGAAAGTCTCCTTTAAAAGGATAGAGGAAGTAGGATCACACGGCGAAGTGTGATCCATACACTACATACATATACTATGCTGTTGAGTGTGTAAGTGCATAAGTGCATAGTGTATAGTGTGCCATTTGGGACGCAGCTTAGATCTGCCCAACTCTAATCCTGAAGATATACTTTCCTGCAGAGTTAAGTTCCAACCCTCACCCAAACACACCTGTTTGTAATTATCAAATGCTCCCTCAGATCCTAATTACCTTCAACAAATATATAAATGCGGGCAACATGGTGGCACAGTGGGTAGCACATTCGTCTCACAGCAAAAAGGTTGCAGGTTCGAGCCCTGGCTGGGTCAGTTGGCATTTCTGTGTGGAGTTTGCATGTTCTCCTCGTGTTCGTGTGGGTTTCCTCCGGGTGCTCCGGTTTCCCCCACAAGTCCAAATATGTGGTATAGATTAATTGAATAAGCTAAATTGGCTGTAGTGTATGTGTGTGAATGAGTGTGTCTGGGTGTTTCCCAGTAGTAGGTTGCAGCTGGAAGGCAAAAACATATGTAAAACATATGCTGGATAAGTTGGCGGATTTTTCCGCCGTGGCGACCCCAGACTAATAAAGTGACTAAGCTAAAAAGAAAATGAATGAATGAATTTAATCTATAAACGCAACACTTGTTTTTGCTCCCATTTTATCTGAGCTGAACTCAGATCTAAAATGTTTTCTGTGTACATAAAAGACCTGGTTGAGTGGGCTGGGGCAGTGTGGGTGGGGGTTTTGGGGTTTAGAAAACCAAAATTTAATATGACCACCATTTGCCTCACACAGTGCAACGCATTTTCACATAGAGTCAATCAAGTTGTTGATTATGGCCTCTGGAATGTTTGTCCACCCTTCTTCGATGCAAATTTGTCTCTGGTCCAGAGCATCCTAAAAATGATCAGTGGGTGACATGTCTGGTGACTATGCTGGCTATGCAAGAACTGGGATCTTTTTAGCTTCCAGGAATTGTGTACAGATCCTTAGGACATGAGGACGTGCATAATCATGCTGAAGCATGAGGGCATGTTTGTTAAAGAATTGCACAATCAATGGGCCTCCGGATCTCGCCGCAATATCTCTGTGCATTATGAAGCAGTAAATAACATGCAATGGTTTTCATTGTCCATAAAATAGGTCAGCCAATACCATAACCCCACTACCATGGGCCACTCGATTCACAACATTGACATCAGCAAACTGCTCACTCACACAATACCATAAATGCTGTCTGCCATCTGCCCTATACAGTGAAAACTGAGATTCATCCATGAAGAGAACACCTCTCCAAAGTGCCAGACACTCTCTACTCAGTTACGACCACAAACTGCATTCAAGTCGAGACCCTGATGAGGAGGACTAGCTTGCAGATGAGCTATCTTGAGATGGTTTTTGACCGCTTGTGCAGATTTTTTATTAGATCTACAAACTAGTTTTTGCAGCAGCTGTCCAGGTGGTTGGACTCAGATGTGAAGACGCTGGATTTGGAGGTCCTGGAATAGTGCGGTTACACTAGGTCTGCAGTTATGAGGCCATTTGAATTTACTGCCTAACTCTCTGAAACACCTTTGGAGATGGGTTATGTTAGCAAAATAAACATTCAATTTATGGGAACAGCTCTGGTGGACATACATGCAGTCAGCATAATGGATGCTTCCTCAAAACTTGCAATATCTGTGTCATTGTGCTGTGTGATAATACTGCACATTTTAGAGTGGGCTTTTATTGTGCCCAGTCTAAGGCACACCTGTGCAATAATCATGCTGTCTAATCAGCATCTTGATTTGCCACACCTGTCAGGTGGATTATCTTGGTAAAGGAGAAATGTTCACAAACAGATTTAGACAAATGGGTCTACAATATTTGAGACAAATAGGCCTTTGTGTACATAGAATGTTTCAGATCTAGAAAAATGGGAGCAAAAAAAAAAGTGTTGCATTTATACATTTGTTTAGTATATGTTGGCTTTGGATAGCTTACTGTTTTGTTTGCTTGTAGGTTGTCTGGCTGTATGGTGACAGAGAAAGGCTGTGGTTTTCTGTCTTCAGCTCTGAGTTCAAACCCTTCACACTTGAGAGAGCTGGATTTGAGCTACAATCACCCAGGACCATCAGGAGTTCGGCTGCTCACAGACAAACTGCATGATCCAAAATGCTCACTCAAGATACTCAAGTAAGACATATTTTTTGTGTGTATTGTGTAGAAGTCATATTTTTCAATTTACAATAGAGCATAACAGTATTTAACACTTAATACTTGTAAGCACGTTTTAATGATAGATTGTATTGTTTAACCATCCACTGATCTCCTTGGATTTACATTGATTTTGAGAAATGCAGACTTGGTCAGATCACTGAAAGTAATCGCATTTAAAATTGCTATATGTACACTTGAAGTCAGAATTATTCACCCCCCTTTGAATTTTTTTTTTTTTTTTTTTTTTTTTTAATTTCCCAAATGATGTTTAACAGAGCAAGGAAATTTTCACAGTATGTCTGATAGTATTTTTTCTTGTGGAGAAAGTCTTATTAGTTTTATTTCAGCTAGAATAAAAGCAGTTTTTAATTTTTTAAACACCATTTTAAGGTAAAAATTATTAGCCCCTTTAAGCTATATTTGTTTTCAATTGTCTACAGAACAAACAATTGTTATACAATAACTTGACTAATTACCCTAACCTGCCTAGTTGACCTAATTAACCTAGTTAAGCCTTTAAATGTCACTTTAAGCTGTATAGAAGTGTCTTGAAAAATATCTAGTTAAATATTATTTACTGTCATCATGGCAAAGATAAAATAAATCTGTTATTAGAGATGAAATCATAAAACTATTATGTTTAGAAATGTGTTAAAAAATCTTCTCTCCGTTAAACAGAAACTGGGGGAAAAATAAACAAGGGATATATATATATATATATATATATATATATATATATATGCACACACACATATATATATATATATATATATATATATATATATATACATATATACACACACACACACACACACACACACACATATATATATATATATATGTATGTATATATATATATATATATACACACACACACACACACACACACACACACACACACACACACACACACACACACACACACACACACACACACATATATATATATATATATATATATACACACACACACACATATATATATATATATACACACACACACACACACATATATATATATATATATATATATATATATATATATATATATATATATATGTATGTGTTTGTTTCTTTCTTTCTTTCTAGTGTGAGTCATGATGGTCATTTCAGAATTACACAAGGACTTCAAAAATGTAGGTCTCGAAATCTTCATACACTTGTAATCAATTAAATAAGCTGTTAAACGGTCCTTCATGTCAGTTTTCTTTTGTTTAGATGCATGTTCTCTCACACTAGACCCAAACACAGCATACTGTCATCTCATTTTGACTGAGGAGAACAAAAAGGTTACCTATGTGGAAGAGCAGCAGTCATATCCCGATCTTCCAGAGCGATTTGAGCACCAGGAGCAGGTTCTGTGTCAAGAGGCTCTTACTGGACGCTGTTACTGGGAAGTTGAAGGGACTGGGAGAGTTGATACATCTGTGACGTATAAAGGAATCGGCAGAAAAGGAGGAAGTGATTGTAGGTTTGGATACAATGACAAATCCTGGAGTCTGTACTGCTCTAAATATAGATACACTATTTGGCACAATAATAACATCACTGACATCCCTGTACCTTCACCCCCCTCTAATAGAGTAGGGGTGTATGTTGACTGTCCAGCCGGTACGCTTTCATTTTACAGCGTTTCCGACAGACACACACTCACACACTTACACACATTTAACACCACATTCAGTGAGTCGCTCTATGCTGGGATTAGGGTATATCCTGATTCTTCAGTGTCTCTGTGTTAAATATGAGAGTAATAACAAGAAAGCAAACACTTAGTTTAAAATTCGACAGAAAAACCACGTTAAGTAAGGATTAACTGATGACGGGCCATTAAATTATTAGAAAAAATTAGCGGAATTATACTTAGTGGAGTTATTCAGTAGATCTATTCAGCTTATACGACTGTTCCTACATCTAAAACACTGTCCAGATGTTTTTTTTCAAGATATTTGTCTGGTCTTTGTCCTCAAAACACCCCTTTGTGTTTTAGATGTAATCGAAAATGTTATATGGAATGGAATGCAATCAAACCCTACATTTAACTACCTGAAAATAATTGCACAACATAAAATGTTAACCAACCAATCAGAATCGAGCATTCAATGGCTGCTTTTGGCATGTTAGTCAAACAACAAAATTAGAAAATCACTTCTTGACTTCTATATTCTTGACTGAAAAATTTGTGGTGGAGCACAGCGAGAAGGTTACTGGTTCGAGCCTTGGCTGGCTCAGTTGGTGTTTCTGTGTGGAGTTTGCATGATCTCCCTGTGTTGGCGTGAATTTCGTCCGGGTGCTCCGGTTTCCCCCACAGTCCAAAGACATAAGGTACAGGGGCCTCATGTATCAACGCTGCGTACGCACAAAAACTTTGCGTACGCCAGGTTTCACGCTCAGAATTGCTCACGTTTGGATTTACTAACAATGAACTGAACGTGGGAATTTGCGCAGGTTCACGGCAGCTTTCTGGCAGGCGTACGCACATTTTTTGTGCGTGTCTGTTTTATTTCCATTGGCGACTCCTAGAGGCAGTTGTGTTAAATTCTTCTCTACAAAGTGTCTGATCCTTGCAATGGCGTCTGTATGAGACGGGTTCATATAGTAGGTATGTAAGATTTCCATACCATACAGTTGACCAGCTAAACATTAAAGCACAATTTGCAGCGGTCGCCTGTTTTCCCAATGTAATCTGAGCTATCTACTGCACGCACATTGCTATAAAGACACTATCTGAAGATGAATTTGCATGCGTGAATCAGAAACATTTCCATTCAATAAATGTGCAAATAAAATATGATGCACAAACTTATTGATGATTCCTACTTGTCTTTCTCGTGATAAATAGTGGGCAAAATCTGATATGTAGCGGGGAAAAAAAAGAAGAATGAATTCATCAGACGCTGGATTCGAGCCGAGTTATGCTCGAACGTGTCAGTACATGATCATATGCTTCTTATGAGGTGCGCCACTGAGACTGCGAAGGGTATTGCAACATTTTACAGATATAAACCACACTATTTCTTTTTTAAATGCACTCAGTGCGATGTTCAGACCCAACTGTGTTAACCGTATCAGCTAAACTCTCCCACTCTATTTTTTTTCTTTTGTTGTTAATTCCGCCGAACAAACTTGCAAATAACACCGCTTTTCTCCGGTCTACCTCCGAAAGCAGCACCTGCAATTCACATTCTGTTCAAAGTTTCTCTTTTTGCTTGCTTTTGCCATTGCTTTTTCGTTGGGTTTTTACATTAGCATAGTCATTAGCATATTCATACGGGGGAGGAGGCAGGGAGGGGTTTTGTGCTCGTGCATGTTGCGCTCAGTTTCACGTTCATTCGGATGTACAAAAGAATATGCGTGAGACTCGGCGTACGCAGTGTTTCATACATCTGAATTTTTTTCTGCGTACGCACATTTACAGCTTTGTGCGTACGCAATGTTTTAGTAAGATTTCCACGCAAGTCTTCGTACATGAGGCCCCAGGTGAATTGGGTAAGCCAAAATTGTCCTTAGTGTATGTGTGTGAATGGGTGTGTATGGATGTTTTCCAGTGATGGGTTGCAACTGAAAGGGCATCTGCTGTGTAAAACATATGCTGAATGAGTTGGCGGTTCATTCCACTGTGGCGACTTCAGTCTAATAAAGGGACTCAGCTGAAAAGAAAATGAATGAATGAAATAATAATTTGTGTTGCTTTAGTGAGAATTAGTATACAGTATATGTAATATGTCTTGAAGACTTTGCAGTGATTCATTTTTTTGTGTTACATGTTATGTATACACCTTTTCTTTAGTACTTCGTTTAGTGTCTGGAGAGTATTGAACGGGCCAATGAATGAAAATGAATTGTTAGCGTAAGCTTGCGCAGGTGTGCTGCATCGCCAATTATCCCAGCATATAAGCACACCTGAAGCGAGCTGACGCCATCCTTTTCGCTTCAGATCCTTTCTGAGTGAGTTGATGAGGGTTCCTCTTGCTGTTCAGCACTTCAGAGCGAACGAGTGTCTCCCGGTCCAGAGTGGGTTTTCGTGGTGGCAGACGGTCGAGCTGGGTTTCTACCTTGCCTGCGGTTCTTTGGGTCCGGCCCTCCAGAGCGGTGCGTATTGTTGCAACTTTCCTAAAAGAGCAACACAGTCGTGCAGCACGTCCTTTCAGGATGGCGCTCCGACTGTGCGTTTCTGGATGCGGGGGTTTCCTGGCTCCAGATGATGGACACGATCACTGCATTGCATGTTTGGGGGTCCAGCATGTTAATGCGGTGCTCGCGGGCAGTTCATGTCGTCATTGCGATGCCATGACCGTTGCACAGCTAAGATCGCGGCTAACTTTCGCAAGAGAGCGAGCCACTCCAGTTGCCTCCTGTTCTAAAAAAGCAGCGGGCGCTCGGGCAGATCTGAGGGTTCCAGCGGGAGATAATCCGCCGCCCACGGGCTCACGGACCTCTCGCTCCTCACGGCGCTCTATCCAAGCTTTGGGTAGTGGAAGTGATCCGTCTAACCAGATGGTAGCTCACACACTCGCTGACATCGGAGATCAGATGTCCTCCGCGGCATCGGAGGGTGGGCTTTCACTTTCCGACGAAGATCCAGAGCCGCTCGCCCCCTCCGGGCAGGTGAGCGCTGTCAAATCGGATCCTGAAGCAGACATGTTAGCCGTGCTTTCCCGGGCTGCTTCGGCCGTGGGGTTGGAGCTGGTTTATCCCCCAGCTCTGCGGCCGGACAGACTAGATGGGTGCTACGTAGAGGACCAGAAGGCAAAGCCTTCGAAGCCTCTCGTCCCCTTCTTCCCGGAAGTGCACAGTAGGCTCACGCATTCTTGGAGGGCACCTTTCTCTGCCCGTGCTGCGTGTCCCTCCGCCCTCACCGCCCTTGACGGCGGAGCTGCCAGGGGGTATGAGGCGATCCCATCAGTGGAGCGCGCTATCGCGGTCAATCTTTGTCCGCGCGGCGCCTCTACGTGGCGGGGTTTGCCCCGCCTCCTGTCCAAAGCCTGTAGGTTGTCTGCCTCCCTCGGAGCCAGAGCTTATAAGGCTGCGGGCCAGGCTGCTTCTGCTTTGCATGCGATGGCCACCTACCAGCGCTACCAAGCGCAGGCGCTGGCTGAGCTGCATGAGGGCGGGTCTAACCCAAGCTTATTACATGAGCTGCGCACCGCGACCGACTATGCTCTTCGGACTACTAAGTCCGCCGCGTGTGCGCTGGGGAGGACGATGTCCACACTTGTGGTTCAGGAACGCCACCTCTGGCTAAACCTGGCCGATATGCGCGATGTTGACAAAGTTCGCTTTCTTGACTCGCCCATATCCCAGGCTGGCCTGTTTGGCGACACCGCCGGTGAATTCACCCAGGAATTCAAGGTGGTGAAAGAGCAGTCGGATGCGATGGGCAATGTCATCTATCGGCGTAGCTGTAAGCCCGCTCCGCCCGCCGAGCCATCCACCTCCGCTGTTCCTCGCCGAGGGCGCCCGCCAACGAGTGCTGCCCCGCCCCCGCCTGCGGCTCCGGCCAAGCGGGCGCGGCGTACACCTCGAAAGCAGGCAGCCCCCCCTGCCCAGGGCGCCGTTAAGTCCGGCAAACGGACCGCGAAGCGTCCCTGAGACAGGCCATCCGGAGAAGAGGAAACTTGCTCTTTCCCCGCTGGAGGGCGGGGCCCCAATTACAACGGTACTTTTCAGTGCCACCAAAACATCAATCAAAGAGCACTTTTCCCCTTCCCCGGATGTGACAGCACAAATTCTGCCAGTCCGGGACGCGCTGCCTTCCGGCTCGCAGATTCTACGTGCTTCACCAGTGGCTCACGAGCGCTGGGGGGACGGTCTCCCTTCCCTCAGCCCTCCAGCCCCCTCTCCGGAGTCAGGGTGCGAAGCCAGAGCGAGTCGCTCTCCTCCAGCTCTTCCGCGGGACCCTCGTGCTTCCCGGATCAGCACACCCACTCCGCGCTGCCCCACTGCTGGTACGTCAACGATTGTAGCGATGACTCCATTAGCGAGGGCTCTGCCTGCCTGGTTAGCGCGGGCCAGCCCCTCGCGGTGGCTCATACGCACAATCAGAGTCGGTTACGCGATTCAGTTCGTGAAACAGCCCCCCAAGTTCACGGGCATGTATTTTTCCAGGGTCAACCCCCTGTCCGCCCGTGTCTTGCGAGAGGAGATTGTTACCCTCCTGGCGAAGGGTGCAATCGAGCCGGTTCCTCCAGCCGAGATGGAGAGTGGGTTTTACAGCCCATACTTCATTGTACCCAAAAAGAGCGGTGGGTCACGACCAATCCTAGATCTGCGCGTTTTGAACCGCTGTCTGCACAAGCTGCCGTTCAGAATGCTCACGCAGAGGCGCATTCTCCAATGTGTTCGTCCTCGGGATTGGTTTGCAGCCATAGACCTGAAGGACGCGTATTTCCAAGTCTCCATTCTTCCACGCCACCGCCAATTTCTGCGGTTTGCGTTCGAGGGTCGAGCGTGGCAGTATTCGTGCCTGGAATTCGGGCCGGATTACTCTCACGTCATCCTGAGACCCCGGGTTATGTGCCCAAGGTCCTCCCCTTCGGGCTCTCTCTGTCTCCGCGGGTCTTCACCAAACTCGCGGAGGGTGCCTTAGCGCCCCTTCGGCTCGCGGGCATCCGCATACTCAATTATCTCGACGACTGGCTGATTTTAGCCCACTCGCGAGAGCAATTGATTGTGCACAGGGACAAGGTGCTTCGGCATCTCCGCCTACTGGGGCTTCAGGTCAACCGAGAAAAGAGCAAACTCGCCCCCGTGCAGAGGATCTCTTTTCTCGGGATGGAGCTGGACTCGATCACCATGGTAGCGCACCTCTCCGAGGAACGCGCTCGCCTGTTGCTGAACTGTCTGAGGGAGCTCAACAGCAAACTAGTGGTCCCACTGAAGTTCTTTCAGAGGCTCCTGGGGCATATGGCATCCGCAGCCGCCGTCACGCCGCTCTGATTGCTCCATATGAGACCACTTCAGCACTGGCTTCACGATCGGGTCCCAAGACGCGCATGGCACGCGGGCACACACCGGGTCTCTGTTACTGCGCTGTGTCGCCACGCCCTCAGCCCTTGGAACGACCCCTCGTTCCTACAGGCCGG